GAATACTTACTTCGAAGCTTACTAACAGCTAATAACCTAGTGAGAAAAAATACACAATTATCAGCCAGGCATAGGAGCACATGCCCATAAACCTAGCACTTGGGAAGCTGAGGCAGGATTGCTGCCAGTTCGAGGTCAGCCTGGGCTACATAGTGAGTTCAAGGCTTGCCTGAACTACATAGCAAGACACTATCTCAAAAACAAAACAAAATAATACACAATTACCATTGAAGCAGGAGAAGAGTCAACAGAATTATCTAAGAAAAATTACTAGCAATTCCATAATAATATTTGAAAATCAAGACAAGTTTAGTAACTTCCTACAAAAATAAATAACTGAAATGAACCCAAAAATTGAGAAAACTTAGAGACCAGAAAAGTGACCATAGTATACTTCACAGAATAGAGGTTTGAGTGTCAGAAACTTCAGAGAAATATGATTTCTTCCAGGTTACTGGATCCCATGCTGCCCAAAGTAAGCACCTCTGGGAGCAGGTTAAAAATGCCAACTGAGCCAGGCGTGGTGGCACATGCCTGTAATCCCAGCACTCAGGAGGCTGAGGCAGTAAGACTGCCGTGAGCTGGAGGTCAGCTTGGGCTACATTGTGAAGACTCAGCTGAACTAAGTTCAAGACTAAGGTAAACTACATAGTGAGACCCTGTCTCTAAACACCAACAACAACAACAAAAAAAAAGAAATGCCAACTCAACCCCCCTCACACTGTCCACCTGGATGTGCATGTGCATGTGTGTTGCTAGTGAACCCAGGGCCTTGCATATGCTGGGCAAGTATTCTACCACTGAGCTATACCATCAGCCCCTTGAACCTATATTTTAACAAGACCGGCAAGGCAGGTATGGTGGCACACCCTGTAATCACAGTTAAGCAGGAAGCTGAGGCAGGAGGATCATGAGTTCAAGGCTAGCATAACAAGACTTTACCTCAAAATAAAATTTATAAAATTGAGGAGGGTGGTAGAGATGTAGCTCGCTGGTAGAGTGCCCCTAAACTTAATCCCCAGTACCACACAAAAAAAATTGTTCTCTTTCCCATGCCTAATATAATGAGGACTATCCACAGGGATTACCCACATACACATGAACTCAAAAATTTTTAAGCGTGAAGAGGTCCTGAGACCAGAATCTGACAGCCTGGGCCCACCAATCCTTCTGGAAGGAAGCAAGGATCCTCAGGCCTGCAGCTCCACCTAGTGGGTATGTTGAGAGCAGCACGGCATATGGTACCCAGCCCCTAGAGCTCCAGCCCCAGGCTCCAGGCCAGGAGGGAGCATAGACCTGAGGTGTCCCTGTGCACCCTAGCCCCGGGGCTGCCCATCTTGTGTGTTCAATGTTGTGCTGCCTAATCACTTCCCCCAGCCAGCCACCTACAGCAGCCCTTATGGGGACCACAGGTGATTCCAGTCTGCCCAGGACCCTGGGGACAGAACTGTCCTATGAGAGCCACTCTGGGGTGAGGGGACTGTGGGTGCTTTTCTTCTGCTTGTGGAGTGATTCCCACCTTGGAGACATTTCCAGCTCTGCCTCTGCAGGACTCGCTCTTCCTCCTTGGTGGGTCCCACATGTGCCCAGGGTAGGTTTGGGCCTGTTTATTCTGCTCTGGCTTCCACTGGGCTCTCCAAGCTCAGCTCATTCTCACATTCCCCTTCACGTGCAGACATCCTCAGACATTATCATGCTGCCTCTTCCCATCCCCTCCAAGCTCATCCCCAGCACCCTCACCAGCGCTCCATCTCACCTGTGCAGTGTTTCCTCCTCATGGTCCACCTCTTCTTCTCAGATCTAGCTTCACTTTGTTCCATCTACTCTTCCTTTACCCATCAGTGAAGTTTTTATTTCTGTGATGACATCTCTCATGTTAATATGTCTCCTTGTTCTTTTTGCATATATCCCTGTTCTTATTTCTTGAATTCTTGTTGCTCATTTATCTCCCTGAGAATTTAAACATACCTGTTTTAAGATCCTCTTCCCTTTCAAGGCCACTTTCCTTGGCTGGAAATCCTCCATGCATTGGTCTGTGGGCTCTCCTGTGCATAACTACCTCCAGTGGCAGGATGTATTTGGTCATTCTTTTTTCCACCAGACCTGGGACAGATGGACATGGGGATCCTAGGTGGAAGATTTTGAGGATCATTTCTGACCAACTCCAAAGTGTACATTAGGTCTGGAACAGGTCTTCAGTCCTGGAAGCCATGCAGCTATTGTTCTAGGCTAGTGGCTGTCTGCCTGCTCCTGAGACTGAGTACCCACCCAACCTGGCCTCTCTTTGCCCTGCTACCAGGCACAGAGACTCTCAGAGGCCCTCCACATCACTGTGTTCACAGGGGAGGGTCCAGGCTGCAGCATTTTCAGTGTCTCTAGGGATGATCTTGACAATATCTAATGGCACAGATCATGATGGTAACTAACACAACGTCTGATCCCTGCCAGCCAGTGAGTCTGTCAGCCTGTGTGTAGGACTTGGAAGATGCCTGAACCCAATATCCTGTGGCCTTACTCATGGGACCACTCGGCCCTTCTCTTCTCATCTTTGAATCTTAAATATAATTTCAGAGCAACAGAAAAATTCCATTCAGAATTGTATTGTATGACCCCTGGCCAGCTAATATTTTCCACTTGAGTTCATCCATAGCTAAGTGTTTTGTGTACATTAATGCTGCTGTTTTTAACAATGTTCACCTTATGGACACCATGCAAGCTCTACACACGACACCTTGGTTAGCCCTTCAGACAGCCCCAGATGGGATTGCTCTTCCCATCCTCAGATGAGCAGGTGGAAGCTCATAAGGGAGAGCCATGTCATCCAACTAGCAAAAGTGGCAGGGTCATGCCCAAGTAGATGTCCACCCCACATGCCATGCTGCCTCCCAGCTGATGGCAATGACCTGCCAGCCCTCATCCACATGCAGTGTTCCTGAGAACCAAGTCCCCCTTCCCAGAAGGACACACGGCCATAGGATCTTCCATGCAGGAGATTCACCATGGGTAGCCAACAGCCCAGTGACAGCCCAGGTACCACTTCCTTATTCCAGAATCCTGAGTGCTCTGGAAGCTGCAAGAGAAAAACCTCCATGGGTCTGAGCCTGCCTGAGACCAGAGGCTCCAAGCTGAGGATGGGAAGCTCCTAGTACTTTGTTTGGCTTAGTTTCCTGGGATATCCAGATGCGGTCAGTTTGGGCGATGCTCCTGGGACACTTCATGATTCCCCCAAGCCTATCCCATACCCCTCCCTTGCAGTGCCTCCCCATCTGGGCCTCTGCAAGTTCCTCTGGATGACCATCACAGCTGTCTTTAGAATCCAGAAAGCAGGTGGCCCACACTGGAGCACACCAGTGTCAAACAACAAAATGACAGCGTATTTGAGATCAAAGATCTTAACTGACATTCATTTTTAATTCTAGAATTAGTAGCAGTGCATCCAGAAGTCCTACAGATCTGACTCTTATTTCAACAATGTTTGGTCATAACAGACCTGAACACTCCCTCTCTTTCATCTTTCATTTACCATCTGGTCTCCTTTCCAGCCACGCCTCCAGGACCATCTTCTCTCCCATCTTCTGCTTCCAGGACCATCTAACACCATTCTTCCACAGGTACCTCTTTATTGATGACCAACCATGGCCTCTGAGATTCATCAGAATTATTCCACCAAGGTGGAGATTCCTATCAACCACCTTATCAATTTGCATCTGCAGACCTCCTACACCCACCCTTCTCTATCATTTTCCAAGTGTGACAATGTGACTCTGAAGGACACGGGCCACTTCTTTTGCAAGTTGGCCAAGAACTGTAAGGGTGCTGAGCATCTCCTGAAGATGCAGAGCCAGCATGGCACCCACATTCTCTTCTAGAATGTGCAGAAATCTCGTGATGATGAGTGGCGTAAAACCCTGAATGTCATGGAAGCCACCCTGATCCTGGAGAAGCACCTAAATCAAGCTCTTTTGGATCTTCATGCCTTATGTTCTGCCAAGACAGACCCCCATTTCTGTGGTTGCCTGGAGAAATGTTTTCTAGAAGAAGAGAAACTTATCAGGAAGATGGGTGACCACCTCACTAACCTCTGCAGGCTAGGGTGGGCAAGTATCTCTTTGAAAACTTCACCCTCCAGCATGACTAGGAAGCCCTGAAACCCAGCAAGCTTTGAGGGGCTCCTCTAAAGCACTGGGCTTGAGAGCTTTGGCCTGACCCTCTCCCTGCATTCACTTTTTTAATCTCTTTGGGGCACTCTCCAGCTTTTCTCAGGAAAAAAATCAGGCAACTTTATTTCATAAAATAGAAAGTTTCAATGAACTGAATAGAGGAGCTTAGTTTTATAGGCAGAAAAGAGCTGAGGGAAGCAGAAACAAAGAACCAAAAACAAATTAGGCGTTTCAGAGTCTCCCCTCATGTTAAACAAAAATCAGGAGAGGCCATTGTTTTGGACCAAGCTCCTGAAGAACAGACTAAAACCAAAACATAGCCTCTCAGTAAAGTTCCATACTATCCACTGAAACTATCACCACCTAGCATGGATTCTTCGCCATAAGTAAGATAGAAATCATATGTGGGCTTGTTCTTGAATCTGCTGTGACTGCTACCATTGTCTACCTTCTTCTTCAGGGCTCTCCAAAGAGAAGAGTTCCCATTAGGTTCACCAAGATTTTAACAATTGGCTGAAGGTTCTTGCTCAATTTATATAGAAATCATGAATTAACAAATTTAGCTCTTTTAGTGTTAATGGCCCTGTGCCTTGAATGCCAGTAGCTATCAGCTCTTTTCGTGCTAGCCCTCCTTGCCACTTAGAGCCAAAAGCTACCAGTCACAGGAGATGATGGTGCCCAGATATTCCTTGTTGTCACTCTCCAGCTGCCAGCTGTCTTCAGTGTTAGCAGCTCAAGCCACTCCAGTTTTCACCACTGGCAACCATGGTATACCAGCTCTTAGTATATCAGCTCAGCATGCTCTCCTCCAGACAGAAATCATGAATAGGTAGGAATATGCCATCCAGAAAGAGGCTTTATTAGGATATATGCTACAGCATGAAGATGAACAGCACAGCCAAGCATGGTTGCTTACACCTATTATCCACCTATTATCAGGAGGCTGAAGTAGGAGGAGCAATGTGAATTTGAGGCCAGCCTGGGCTACACAGTGAGTTCAAGGCCATCCTGGAATATAAAGGGAGACTCTGCCTCAAAAACAAACAAATAGCACATAGGCTGAATCCACCAAGAATATGGAAAGCTTATCAGTACAGGAAAAGAGATGGGTTTGCACATGAGCAGTGTCAGACTTCGTGTCATGGGGGGGGGGGCTGCCCTTGGCATAATGGAGGATGGCTGCAAGGGCAGAATCATCTAGAGAGGATGCAGGGCAGATCAGCTGGGATAGATCCACTAAGGACAGCAACTATAGCCAAAACAAGTAGCTGCCAGAGAAGCCTATGGCAGGTGATGTACATAGCCAGTTGCAAGGAGTTTGGGGCTGCCATGGGAGGAAAGCCTTGGGCCATTGTCTCCTGCCTCAAGACCATGTTGCCTATCTGACCTCCCCAGGAGAAGCAGCCCAAACAAGCCAGTTTCAGCTGACCTATAGCTTGGGGATTTGGCTTTTCTCTCTCTCCTCATCGCTGCCAAGGTAACATGGTGGTTTGGACAGCACCTCCTGTAGGTGCCACCATGGCTCCTAGGAACTGTTTCACAGGGTAGGCACATTCCTACTGACCAGCCATTCAGAAGCCTCTTGGCAGCCTCGGCCTCCTGTCCTCTGGGAGTGGCAAGCTCAACGACAGTGTGGGAGCCGCCTGGCTCATTCTCTTGGCGGGTTTCTATCCTGAGCTGGGCACAGATGGGCAAGACTCCGGTGAAAACCACACAAGGGACTGGGCGTCCTTCCCAGCATCCATTCCTTTAGGCCTAGGGCTTTCCTGATCTTCGAAATACTTGACACATACGACCCCTGAAAACGAACACAAATGCATGTGACTCTTCGACCCAACATGATATCCCATGAGCTGGAACGACTACTCCTAGGTTTTATTAGGATAGTAACCAACTTTTGGATCCATGCCCGAATCCAAAATGGCCGCTCCACCCACTACCGCGTCGCTGCCCCTCTCCAAGATGGCTGTGAGGCGCGTGGCGTCACTTGGGAGCCCTCTGCAGGCCATACCCCTTCCGGTTTTAACGTGGACAGAATCTCCCAACACGGAAGTAAACAATATTCTCAACGGACGGGACTTGGTCTACCTGTTGGTCGGAGGTTTGGCCTTCCGGCCCGACTAAGGAAACTTCGCCAACAAGACTCACGCCCGCCTTTGGGCAGTCGCGCGCCTCCCCCAACCCGCCTGGCCCCAGCTTCGCAGCGAGAAGCAGCGGAGGGGCCCACGTGGGTCCGGCGGCCCCGAGCTGCCCTAGAGAGCCGTCCCTGCAATGCTGCTCAGTGGAAACACAGCAAAGGAGAAAAAATAAGATATGAACGAATAAAGGAATTCTGCGTCCTTTTCTTAAGTTTTAGTTATTTAGAGTTGTGTCGTTTGTAAGTCAAGTGGAGGGGGGCGCCCGGGAACCTTCTGAGCAGGCACTCAGCGAGTACTATCAGCGTGCCAAGAGTGCATCCACTGAACAGCCCTGGCAGGATGCAAAAATCACTGAGTCTTTGAAGTCGATGGCACCTGTGCTAATGGTCAGCAGGTCCCAGAGCACTCCGGGCACAGGGTGAGGCCTCCCCACCACTGGACCCCACCATTCACTCCTGCGGCCAGCATCCTCAGAGGACCCAGGTGGCACCTGCCCATCCCCATCATGACCCTCTCAGCAGCAAAGCCTGCATGTCCTCCCCACCCCCACCATTACCGCATCACCTGAGCACTCCTCGTTGGTGGTCTGCTTAGAGCGTAGGGTGGTGTCTGCCCTCTCAGGGTTCCTGGTAATGGCCCTGGCCACCTGGCGGCTACACACATGTATGGCATTCTCCTCTCTCAGAGCTTGGATGGCTTGCAGCTAGAGGCGGGGTCCGAAGGGGGAGTCCTTCGGAGAGTGGCTGCGCTTCATTTGCTGGCTGAGGACCTGCTGTGCGTCTCTGGGCTGCGATTTCTCCACTGAACTGACTCCTGAGCTCTTCCTTTCTGGTGAGGGTCTATCTCCTACAGCCTGTCTGTATGGTGCCAAGAAACCCAGAAGAGAAACTGGCTGAATCTCTGGGCCCAGTGTGCAGCATGCAGCACAGGGAAAGTGTGCAAGGGTCCCAGGGTGCTGTGGAAGGACCCTCAGAAATAGGCTGGACAGGGTAGAGTATAACAAGAGGGAATCCTGGGAAACGCTTTTAGGTAAGGGCCACCCTGGTGTGCTCACAGGCTGAACTGTGGCCTGGCTGGATGAACCCTCTGGTTCCCACGCAGGGCAACCTCTCCAGAGGTCAAATCTGACCTGAAGAACAGCCCTGGTGGCTTTGTACAGAAGTATGGTCCACTCCTGCCTCAGCCTCCAGATGGTCACCTTTACTATTCATTCTCCTTGCGCTTGTGCTGCAGGAAGTAAGCAAAGCTGGGAGGGCACTGCAGGTGACAAAGTGCCTGTATGAGTGTATGTGCTGAACAATGACCCTTGAGATTCTCACACAGATGATGTCCCAACCCTCCTGCCTGAGCATCTGGCCTAAGGCTCCTCTAGGCAGGCTGTAGTTCTCTAGGTTCTAGGCTGTGCAGCACCTGACAGATTCCATGTTCTGTAGGGACATCAGTTACAAATCTGCCATCCTGAAAGGGCTCAGCAGGGCAGGGAGAGCACTGGAGCCTTGCTCCACTTCCCCTCCCACCCCCTGTGGTCTGGTGTTCACAGCTGTGGCTGGAGTTTAGTCAACAAGCTGGCCTCCAAGATGGGCTTGTTACCCTACCAGGGTAACAAGCCAGGGTAGGGTACAAGAGCTAGTTGTGGTGGCACACACCTCTAATCCCAGAACTCAGGAGGCTGAGGCAAGAACATAGCCACAAGCTCAAGGGCAACCTGGGCTACACAGCGAGTTCAAGCCCACTTGTGCATAGTGAGACCCTGTCTCAAAAAAAAAAAAAAAAAAAAAAAAAAGTGCTAAGTCACAGTCCTGTGCAATGCAGGAGCAGCTACTGTAGAAGTCCACAAAGCCAGCTGCATGGGGACCATGAGCAGATGCAGGAAGGGCTAGAAGCGCATGAACACCATCTATGCAGGCAAGGCCAAAAGGGCTCAAGATAACACCTGAGTCCTCCCACCCTGGGACCTACCAAGCAGGAGCGGGTGTTTGGTGACAGTTGATTGTTTGCACATACAATACCCCAAGGTGCTCCCCCTACACTGACCACCCCCTTGTCAACTTTAGGTAGTTCTGGAACTGGAGAGGCATGAGCCAACCGGCAGTTCAGCAGGTCCATGGGTATCAGCAGTCCACAGACAGCACTGGTGATATCCGGAAACTCACACAGGTAGATGGGGTTTGTACCACCTGGGAGCACACAGAACAGCAGCTCTCTGAGCTCACCAGGCACCTGAATGTTTTCATATCACAAAGCTCAGAGCCACACATATCTTGAATCCTACAAGAACATTCTTGGTAACCACAGGATAGTGGTTCTTAATGTGATAGCAGGAAAGACTCCCTAAGCACCCCAAGCCTAGAAGGCCTCAAACTTCCAGCTTCAGCGGGGGTCACTCAGTCACCCTTCCTCAGCAGTAGGTGCCCACGAGTAGGCAGAATGCTGTGGCTCCCTGCCTACCATCACCCTGGAACAAACAGTGGCCTGAGCAAGCTGACCACACAGGTGCCTCTACACATGACCAGACCAGAGTGCAGCCTTCCTGGGCAGTGCAGGAGGGCAGTGGGGCACCACCTCCCACCCACAGGTGACCACCCAGTCTGGACACCATCCACCCAGGAAGACAGCCTCGTCTTCAGGGTAAGACCACACCTGTAGACCCTGGCTCATCCTCAACTGCTGGGCACCAGGGAAGGCACAGAATATAGCAGTGTTCTTGCAATGTTACTCCTCCATTTGCTCTTCTAGAAAACCCTGTGGTCTCAAGGCTGTTTCTACCAGGCTCTCCTGTAAGAGCAGACTGCTGTGCTATTCAACATTGTGAACTTGTGATATGATCACCAGCCCTAAGCACCCAGAAACTCACCTCATGGGAGGCATTTAAGTCCCACTGCCAGTCCTGGCCTGGGCATTCCTGGGACCTGAGAAGGGCTTGGCTCCAGCCACAGCAGCCCCAAGAATGTGGGGCCTTCCCATTCCTTGCTGTCCAAGGACAGACTGTGACAGGTGGCTTTAAGACACAGGATTCTCGTGAGTTAGATTCCCAGTACCAGAAAAAAAAAAAAAAAAAGACACAGGATTCTTTCTTCCTTGGTCCCCTGTGTACCCCACACGCATCTGCACTTACCTGGCTGCTGGCCAAAATTCAAGGGCAGCATGGGGACCTCAAAGCCAGCACTGGGGCACACCAGTGCAGCAGCACTCCCAAGTGGGGCAGTTCTGACATCATAGGGGGTAATTCTGACATGTGCTGCTCTTTCAAACCTATGTACCAGTAAGTCCTTTGGGCCTAGTGGGTGCAGCACCGCTAGTAGGTGCTAGTTCACCAGAACTAGCTGCCCAGGTGGGGCTGGAAGTGGCAGCTCCAGGTCCTGGAGATGGACTTGGATGCTCGACTGTAGTGACTGACAGCAGCTGAGGTTCTGGGACCAGCCCAGAAGCTGTTTGGTGAAGGGGGCTGAGTGGATGGTAAGATGCTATCTGACCTCCCCTAGACATCCCTTGGCAAATCATTCAACCTCCACTATCCCAAACTGAGTGTGTGTATGAGTGTGTTTTCTTCTAAAACCCAAGTCCCTGGTTTGGGGTTATTGTGATGTGATAGTCTGAAGGTGCCAGGAGTAGGAAAGGGGCCTGCAGCTGACACCTTGCAGCACAGGGTGAGTTGAAAGCTTGAGCCTCTGGTGGTCAGCCTCAGTCAGCAGTAGGGAGCAATTCATGCTTCTCCTCGGCCCCCACACAGAACAGGGGGTCAGCAGTATCCTCAGGTGATTGGAATTGCCTCGGCCCCCTTACAGAGACCTCCCGCCACCTCTAGCTGAACAATACTGTGTGTTCAGGAAACTTGTAACTTGTTAGTTGATGTTCTTGGCTTCACCTGTGTTCAAGACACCTGGCCAGTCAGTCCTGTTAAAGACCTGCAGATTCTGAGGTCTGAAATAAGCACCCCATCCAATCCCCACAAGCTGAGAAGAAAGTTCAGCTCCAGAGAGCAGATGTGCAGGGGCAGGGGCAGCCACTGCTCTAAGCAACACTGACTCCCTGTTCTGAGGCAGGAGCCAGTATCTAAGGGCCAATGGGGTGCAGCCACCTGGCATGAGACTTGTCTTCACAGTTCCCTGTGCCTCCTGCACCCACATCTGGTGGGCTCTTGGTTTTTCAGTGTCTTTGCGAGCTCTGAGGCACCTGTGTTTTTTGGCAGTCTTTCGCTCAGCAGTATCCTCAGGTGATTGGAATTGCCTGTGACCACAAAGCTGCTCTAGATGCGCTGAGTTAACAGAAGCTGCGCTTCCCCGAGATCTGAAACGCAAGAGTCCAGGGGCACGCACTGCGGAGCCCTCACTGCCACAGCTGGTCAGGACATAATTGTAGTCAAGGGCTACCCACCTGTGGTTGCCTTGAAATCTTCTGGTTTTTGTTCCTGGAGTTCTAAATTATTTTTTAAAATCATTTTCAATTTTTCTAAGATGTTATAAAAGCTGTCTAGATTTTTTAACTGTTTAACTTGGTGAAATACAAGAGTTTTGGGGTTTGTTTGTTTTTGGCATTTTCCTACTCCCACATTAGCTTCTGCAGTCAATATGTCCCCCAGGCTTCAGGGCCTCGCTCAGCATGGCCTCGCTCTGTATGGCCTCCAGGAAGCATTTTCCAGACCCTACTGTCTCTCTAGTCCTGTTCTGCCTGCAGGTTCCAGCCACTTGCTGAGCCCTCCACAGGCCCATGGCACACAGGCTGGCTGGGCTCCCTTCTCCCAGGCTTGAGCCCACCACTGGCCACTTTCTCCCTTCGGTTGGGGGGGCGAGGCAGGGATGGGGAACTTTCTCCCTGCCCTGCTTTGAACTTCCAACATCAAAACACTGCCCCTGCCCCTCTCCAGCACAACCTGTCAGTCTATGTCCCCTAAAGACCCTAAAACAGAGGGAATAGATATCCTAGATCCCACTCCAAGAGGCCATAGTCAAGGCTGCATCTCAGGGAACCTGCTCTTTAGCCTCTGCTCCCTCTTCTAGGCTGCCTGCCAGAGGGGCCAAGCACCCTGCAGAGCTTTGGCCTGAGCCCTAAGGTTACTGTGGGGCAGCTCTGTGTGCTTCTCCTCCAGGCTCAGCTGTGCACTCCTGAGTGACTTGAGAGTCCTGGGGCCTGGGGGGATAGGGCACCATCTGTCCACCAAACACCCCTGCAGTCTAGGTGTCTCCCAAGCAGGGGTGGGCGGGTGGGGGAGGCCCTATGGTGTCATCAGTGTACTGCTGCTGTCCAAGGGGGTCCAGAATGGCCAGTCACCCTGTCCCTAGGTCTGGCCTATCAAACACTCTGAAGCTCCGGGTGGCCATTTCTAGGCCAGCCAAAGAAGCCCTGTGTGTGTTCACCTGGTGGCCCAGTTAGTGGCCTGATTTCATAAAGAAGCCCCTGGGATGGCTGCTCAGTGTCTGTATGGCAGCAGCTAGTCAGCCAGAGAAAACAATTATTCCTTCCCAAAAGTCTCTCCCACTGAGAATCACTGTAGCTAGTCACAGCTGTGGCCTACAGCTGAGGGGTACAGATTCTGGGGCCCCTTGGACTGACTCCAGCTTGAGGGGGCTGAGCCTGGACACATAGGGGTGCATTCCAAGGCTAGCTTGGGTAGGAAGATGAAAGGGGATAGCAGAGTCCCTGCCTTAGCCAGAATGGGGTCTCTGGTTCACAAGAGCAGATGGCATGTTGAGGTCCTTCATGGGAGTGGACAGAAGCCACTGACCTACCTGGGTTAGCACAAGGACCTACTGAGTCCCAAGGCCTCCCAAAGCAGCAGGTGTGACCAGGACTGGAAACCCCACAGACATGTGGCAGAAGATGGGACCCAAACCTGGACAAACCTAAGGGCCTCTTCTCTCCAATGCCCACTCCCTTCTCACCTACCCTGGCCCTACTGCATGGCCTCTTAAGTGCCTGCTCACCCTACATGGTAACCACCTGTTCCTCCTAGTGATTTAGCAGTGGGATGCTCACCCCACCTGGATCTGGCCTGAGGTCACTCCAGGATTCACATCCCTCTTGGCTTAAACACCCCCCACCCCTGCTGACATCTGTGGGTCCAATATAATTGTAGGAGACAATCTGAAACCCTTGGTGTCTTGTACACTGACGTACACCATGGTTGCTGCCCACCACCCTGAGGATGTCTGTCCCAGGTCTGAGCCCAGAGTGTCCCCAGAGAGCCATGTTTGAAATGCTGCTACATGGCACTGAATACCAGGCATTCTGGGGTGCCCTGAGTCTGCCGTGTCCTGGCAGCCTCTGGTGTGGCCCTAGACCTCAGCCTGCTCCCCACCCCCAAGGAGCACAAGTTAGGAGGGTCCGGGGAGGGAGGAGATAAGCACAGGCCAGAGGGCTTTGGGAGACATATTTATCACCCGCTTTGCCAGGAGGAGCAGCCATCTGCCAAGAGGACTGGTGTCTTGGGCTTTAAGCTCTCCCACCCCCTAAGCCCACAGTAAAAATAATCCCTCCACTCCAATATGTCCCAGTTCCACAGGCACCTCCTGGTCCAGCTGTGCACTGATGCCCATCAGGGCCTGTGAAGTGTGGGTGACCCCATTTCATGGAATCACAGCAGGGAAGCCTGCTGAATGACTTGAGAGCCCTGGGGCCTGAGAGGATGGAGAACATCTGCCCACGGAGCACGCTGCAGGATCTGGATGTATGGGGGACGGGTGCTAGAAGATCCCCTGTGGGAGGTCCCACATGTACTGCTGTCCACGGGAGTCCAAAAAAGCCAGTCCACAGGCCCTTGCTGTTACCCAGGGAGGCTCCCAAGCACCTGACAAGGACAGATCCAAGCTGGGGGTGGGGAGAAGGCTGGTTTTTGCAGGGATCTTTGGGAAGCCTGGACCTGTCCCTTCAGGGACTGATGTTGCTGGCTGGAGGCCCCCACCCAGGATGCAATATCATCACCAGGTGGCCCCCAGGGTGCAGCTCCTCCAACAGCACACAGGCACACCAGGGCAGCTGAATGGGGACACTAAGAAATGAGCTGTAGGAAAAAGAGGGACCCTCAGCCCTGCGGAGCTGTCTTGGAAGGTGGATGGCAGGACAGTTGTCCAACCTGGCCTCATTATGGGACCTTGGGAAGGGGCTGAAAAGAGAATGCCCCTCTCCAGGCCACTCAGGTTCAGCCAAGCACATGCCTGCTCACATACCAAAAGCAGCAGGTTCTTACCTACCCCCGGGTAGTGCCTCATTTGGGGACCATTGCAGGGGAGCTGGGGGCAGGGACCAGACCAGGGAGCAACTTTGCAGAGGCCCTGGTCCCCAGACCTCCTGGGTACAAGCCTTCTGACCCACAGATGCTTGTCAGCGTACACTATTGAGGGTCACCACAGACCACAGAGTTCCTACTCCTCCCAGCCGGCCAGAGGTACCAAGAGGGGACAAAATTTACCCATCTGAGGTCCTGAGTCACAGCACAAGAAAGCCCAGGAACTCACTGGTGAACGAGACCCCACAGGCGGGGTGGAGCACCCCCTCCTAAGGGAAGCTGGCCCCTCAGGCTTCCTCCTGGCCTCGTGCCCCACCCACTAGGGAGGCTGAGCTCGAGGTCAGCTGCGCCCAGCCTAAGGAGGCGGCGCCCGGGCCCAGGTGGCAGGAGTGGGCGGGGCGCCCGCCGGGCTCTGCGGGGCTCGCCAGCCCCGACTCACTCTGCGCATCCCTCAGACCTTGTCGTTACTTGGCCCTCGCTGTCACCTTCCAAAGTAAGTCCATAGACAGAACCCCTCCTGCCGGGAGGGAACCGTGGTCCAGGGGTCTTGGCTTACCCAGTTCTGTCCCTGGGATGACCCTCTCCTCGGGTAGCGGCCGGCAAACCGACCCCAGCGCCAAGAGCCGCGCTGCGTGCCGGGGCGGCGTGTTGTACGCCGTGCGCAACGCCGTGCGCCGTGGCTGGGGGCGTCGCGGGATGCGCGGGCGGCGGCTGGGCTCGGCGGCAGCGGTGGTGGTGGTGGCGGCGGCGGCAGGTATGGCTGGCGGGGCGGGTGAGGACCCCCAGCCCAGGAGGGACCCACACTCGAGGCTCGGGCTGCTCCAGCGCTCATGTGGCTGTCCGCGTGCGGAGCCACGGAGAAGCTCCAGGGTGGGACCGAGGACTTGGGGTCTCTGGGAGAGGCACCCTGCATACCCCCCAAGCTCTCACTCCTGCCTCTGGCCGGCACAACTGCAGTGCCCAGGGATGGAGGTGGCCCAGGAGCGCCCACCACCCACTGAGGCAGGTGCCCTGAGGCCATGCCAGCCCCTCTCCCAAGGCCCACAGGGCCGGATCTGGGGAACAACAGAGAACTCCTGGTCCCCAGGAGCCGGTAAAAGGAGGGGCAAAGGGTTGCCTACCCTCACCACCCCGGCTATCACCCCGCAGCATCTCAACCGAGCTCCCAGGCTGTCCCCTTTCCAGACCAGTCAGGTCTCCTACACCTGGGGAGGCTATCCACAGCTATCCTGGGCTTGCCTGTATCACCAGACCCTCAGCCCACACAACCCAGCCTTCGGGAGATGCAAATTGCAGCCAAATCCTCCCAGCCCAGGATTAACCAGTCCTTGGAGTGAGCTCTGTCATGCAAAACAGAAAGGGATGCAGAAGGAACAAACACTATCCAGCCCCCTGCAATCTTCTCCCACCCCTGCAGGATGGTTTTAGAAATGGGCCCCACATGGGGGCCGGGGGGGGGGGGGTGGCATCAGACCCTCCTGTGCATACCAGGGAACCTTCCCAAAACAGGGAAAACAGTGGCCTGTTCTCCAGACCAGAGCTGGGCCTGAGGAAGCTCAGGATGCAAAGGATGGAAAGTTTGCTGTTCTGTTAATGAGCTCTGCTGGGGAAGGGGAGCACGTGGGGTTTCATTAATGGGGCCCCATGGGACTCTGGGCCTAACACCCCAGCACTGCCTCTGTAGACTTTCAGAAGAGTGGATAATAGTGTGGGCCTGGGATTTGTCCCAGGTGTGGATGGCAGCCCCCAGCTCTGTTGCTTCCTCCTGTGCTAGTGGTGGCAAACCTATGGTACACGTTTTTCTTTCAAGACAAAAGATGTTAACCTATAAATTTTTTCTAAACTAAAACCTCAGTATTCGGGTTTGACTGCAGTGTTGGCACTTTGCAATAAAGGAGTGGGTTTTGGATTGCAGTTTGGCCACTGGTCTCTAAAACATTCACCATCACTATCCTATGCCCTCCAGCCCCAGGCTGGCCACTTCTGAAGCCCCTGACGCCATGGAGGAGTGGGATGTGCCCCAGATGAAGAAAGAGGTAGAAAGCCTCAAGTATCAGCTGGCCTTCAAGAGGGAGATGTCCTCCAAGACCATTCCGGAGTGAGTCCCCACCTGCTCACCATGCATCTCATTTTCATCTCATTTGTGTGCAGGACCTTGCCCCTGGGACAGGTGTCTCAAGGGCCTGCACTCACTCCTGCCCCACCCGCAGGCTCCTCAAATGGATCGAGGATGGGATCCCCAAGGACCCCTTCCTGAACCCTGACCTGATGAAGAACAACCCCTGGGTGGAGAAGGGCAAGTGCGCCATCCTGTGAGCCAGACAGAGTGGGTGTAAGGTGTGACTTTATTATAAAGACTTCTCCAGACAGAGTGTCCTCCTGGTGCATTCCCTGTGTGTCTTGGGCTACAATAGGTCTCTGATGTACAGGCCACGCCGCACGGCATTGGAGACGCCCTCGTTGAAGCGGAACCAGACTTCACTCCTGCCCACTGCGGTGCCCATGCGCCACTCTACCACATCTTTCTCTGGTGCCTTGGTTTCTGTGGGGACCACACGATTGCTCTTCAGCTGCTCCCAGCCCCTGGGGGACCCCCCCCTCCATCCACCCACACACACCTGTGCTTGGAGCTGCTGCTTTCTTGACAACCACACGTCCAAAGAAGTCCCTTTCAGGCTGTGGGAAGAAGGTATCAGGCATGGGGGATGGGTGGGGAGAGGGCGGGCGCTGTACAGCTATGTGCTCACCCGAGACCAGGTGGGAGATTTAAGCAAACCCAGAGCCACCCCTCCAGGCACCCTATCCTCTGTTCTACACAAGGCACTCACAGGGAGCAGCTCTGGTGCAAGGATGTCTAGGACGCATGTCTTAGGATGGAGGCCTTGAACCTGGGCAAAGGCTTCCAGCTGGTGACATCTTTTCTAGCCCATTACCCATTGATCCCAGCCCAACCTAACAGGTTCATCCTTAGGCCTCAGGGGCAGCCCAGAGCCCACCCAACCCCCAACAGCAGCCTTGCCTAGCCCTACCCCACACCTGTTCCTCCAAGGCTGCTCTCTTCATGATATGTTCCAGTCGCTGCTCGTGGTTTCGCAAAGGAGGTTGCCTCACCCCTTTATCTCCACTCCCCCCAACAAGACCTTCAGGTCCTGGGGGACCCTGGTCCACCTGCAAGGAACACTGTGGTGAGGGCTGGCTGGGCAGAGGCAACGCAATGGATAGCATCCACTTCCTGGGCCCCACTTTGCCCAATGGGGTAGGTTCACAAGGGGCTGAGCTCACCTGGGGGCCAACTCTAGCCTGGGCCAAAGCCTCTGCCCGACGCATCTTTTCCACCTCAATCTCCCGGGCAATGAGCTGCTTGGCCTGGTAGGTAAGGGGCTTGCGGGCAGGCAGCTCAGGGAAGTGGCAGACCTCTTCCACATTCCTGCTTAGGGGCAGGGCAGGACACCATGGCACTGGTCAACAGGGCCAGGGCCAGAGGCCCACCTGGTGCTCTAACCCCACACAGTAGGACTCAGAACTGGAATGGGGGATGAGATCCCACTGCAGTCATACCCCAACCCCATGACAGCCTTGAGCCTGTTTTCCCAACTGTAAGCAGAAAGATAAAGGAGCCTGCCTACACAGAGAGAAAGTAAAACAATGGGCAGGGCAAGGGATGCAGCATCCTGAACAGTAGAGCCCTCCTCACTAAGCCACAAAACCCCAGGCGCACTGCTCTGGTGCCACACACACTAGTCACAGCACCTGGACAACTATCACTGTTACTCCAAAGGCTAGCCAACTGCGAGTACACTGAGGTTGGGAGAGTGCTCCAATGACTCAGGTCCTATGGCTGTGCCTTGGATGTACCCACACCCGACCCAGTTACTAGGTAGGGCTAAGCTGGGACTGACCACCCCCAACACCTTGCCATATTCACGTGGGCTTTAGCACCCATCCTGCAGCCCTAGGCCTACCCCATCCTGGAGCAAGGGACTCACGGCTCCAGCCTGTAGAGGTACTGCCCATCAGGTGTGCGCTCCTGGCGGTAGGTGAGGCTGTAGGAAAGCATGGTGCCCACAAGGCTGGACAGCTGCTCTTTCTCACGGACACTGTACAGCTGTGTGCTCACCTGGGGCCGGGTGGGAGATTAAGCAAACCCAGAGCCACCCATACCAGGCACCCTACCCTCTGCGCTACACAAGGCACTCACAGGGCGCAGCTTAGGTGTAAGGATGTCCAGGAGCAGGCAGAGGGTGTCCAGGATGAGGGCCTGGGGTGTGGCGCGGCTTCGGGTGGCTGGTGTGATGCCTGACACCAGTGTCTGGATCAGGTTTCTCATTTGGCCTATCCGGTTCTGGGCCTGGGGCAGAGATGAGCCAAGGCAGTGTCACCATAACCGTCTGGAAGCCAGACCCTAGCACAGGCAGAGCCAAAGCGCACCTCTTGCTGGCTACTGGGGAAGGCAATCCGAGGCACATGGCTGGAGGCAAAGAGGACGTGGAAGGCTGCGGGCAGGAAGGGCAAGTAGCGCAGGAGCTGGAAGCTCTGGCTGTGGTGGGCAGCCCGCTCTAACAGGTCGTCAAAAGCCAGCCAGTCCAGGGCCGTGCACACAGATCCCAGGCTGGAGTCCCGAAGCCGGAGTCGCAGGAAGTTGTCAAAAAGGCCCTGGAGGAAGCAGGAGCCTGAGCCTCATCCACCTCCCAGCCTTAGCACTACCTTGGGACCTGGCCCTTCTGTCCACCATGTGAAGTCCCAAGTGCAGGGCTCAGCTGGAAGCAGGGGAGCATGACCAGGACCTAAGGGGTCCACCCTGAGCTGTTAAGAGTCTACCCCACCAGGAACCAGCAGGGGTACAGACCCCAACCTCCCACTACACAGCTAGAAGGAAACCTCAAACTCCCCCTACTTAGGAGTCCTATCCATTCAGCTGCACTATATGCCCTTTCATGCTGCGGATTTCCAGACTGGCTGAAGATCCCAGCCATTAATCCAAAGCTGTTTAGGATTGGGAGGCAGCTTAGGGAAGCTTTCCCCATGGAGGGGCCTCTGCCACCTGCTTAGACCAAAACACTATCCCACCTGATCTCAATCCCATGTACCTACATCCAGAATCCAGCCCCTCCCAGGCCCTCAAACCCCATGTGGACCACAGCAGAGGCCTCCATCCTGCAGATGATCGCAGCCAGCAGGCAATGACCTATGACCCACTGCCAGAGCCCATGCTCCCTGCTTCCCTCTCTCGTTACCCTCCTGGCTCCTGAGGACCGCCACAGCCTTCTGTCCTTGTCCAGACCACCCCGCAGAGGCCTCTCCAATGCCCTCTCTACTCACCCATTCTCTGCCTTTTCTCACTACATCGCCATCCAGACTCCCTCCCAACCACTCTCTTCAGCACTGAAGCACCAAGCATCCTGCTCCCAGGGAGGGCTCCCCTGAAGGATAAGTACCTGGACCACTTTCTCATGCTCGCCTGCAGAGGTGGTGACTGTCAGGATGTGGTAGAAGCGCTGGGAGGCAAGGGTCAGGGAGCCCACGTCCCTGTCACCAGGCAGCAATGTGTGGGCTAGCAGGCTGGGGTCCTGGCCTCCAAGTTGCCTGCAGGCAGTAAGAAAGGTAAGGGCTGTGACTGGGATGGGGACCTCGTTACTCTTCTGGGTGGGCTCACAGCTCCCACCCAGCAGTGCCCTCTTCAGTCTTCACAGTGACGCACTTCCAGCACTTGCTACCCTGGAGGTCTTATGTTTACCTCATGCTGGAGTCACTGGGGGCCTCAGATACCTGGGGAACTCCCCTAAGTGGAGCTCCCAGGCCTTAGAGGAAGACCTTGATGTGGACTGACCTTCAGGGTAGGGGCCAGAAAAGGCCACCCACAGGAGCCAGGCTAGGAGCTCCACATCCCAGATGCAGGAGCCCCTGGGTGTCTCCCACTCTGTTTGGGGCACTGACCAGACCTGCAGGCCTGGTGGGCCCTAACCTGAGTCAGGGCAGACACACAACTGCCCTTACCCACCTGAGGCTTCATGGTCCTGGCTCAGGTAGTAGAGATGGGTGAAGCCAGGCAGAACTGCACCCTAAGTCCCAGCAACACCTTGGGGCACTGAGACATAAAGGTATGGTGGCACGGAGTCTTGAAGGCCAAGCCAGGCAGCCCTAGGATCATGGACATTGGGCCTGAAAGTGGGACTGACCTGCATCAGGTCAGCTTCCTGAGGCTCTAGGCACTATGGGCATCTGGACTGGGGCTAAGTTGCCACACATACCTACCTCTGGGCCCGGGGCAGCTGAAAGACCTCCTGCCACACAGAGAAAAGTCCTTTGCGCTGGTCCTTGAGGCCAACATGGGTAGTCTGCACATCTCGCACACTCAGCTCCCGCTGGCCCCGTCCATGCAGGAACTGGGTGGGCAATGAGGTTAGAGGCCACCAGCCCACCACAGCCACTCCCTGCCCCAGACTGCCTACCTTACCTGCAGGGTATTGATGCAGGCACGGATGTCATTGTCTGTCTTCTCACAAAGGGCTGCCAGTGCACCTGGGTCAGACTGCATGCCCTGTCGCAGGGAGATCTGCAGGGACAGTAAGGTGCCGTATGTAGGGCTATGTGGCACACCTTCAAAAGCCCATCCCACGGCCACAGCCCTGTTCCCCAGAAACAGGTAGGTGAACAGCAGCCCTATCCAATAGGCAGCCATCGGTTACAGGTCCCTAAGACTGGCCTCTGTCCCTGCCTGACTGCCCACCACCACAGGCCAAACTAGTCCTGGAGCCAGGTGGGAAGGGACCAGAACAGAGGCCACATCTTCTTCCCCAAGTTGCCCAAGCAACCCCTGGCTGTCTGCCCTGCCCTGCTGACCTCCTGGAGCCGCTGCACCAGCCTTGAGGATAGAGTTGGGGGGAAGTGGAGCAGGAAAGCCTGCTGTTTCAGCTGTCGCAGGGATGGTGCAAACCTGCAGAAAGGATGGGTTGTGGCCACACTAGTACAAACACAGTGGCCCAAGCAAGACCACCCCAAGGTAGGGCCAGGCCCCCATCATGCCCAGTATAGGCCACCCTACAAGCTGGTCACTGAGGCCAGGGCCCCCGATCCAGGGCAGACTGCCCCACTCACTGGTCATTGCAGATACATATGATGGGCCTCATCAGGAGGGCCCCCTCTGTCCGGTGCCGCCTGTTCCCTCCTAAGGGCACAACTGGGCCACCGGTCTCTGCCTCCTGTGGACCCTTGCGGTTCAGGATGCTCAGGAGAACATTGATGGCAGCCTTTGGGGAAGAATAGAGGGATATAGTAAGCAGAGGCTCTGGTGCCTGCCCACCCCTGCTCACCCTGCAATAAGGAGGCCCACCGTAGGGGCCCCATCAATCTCATCAATGACCAGGCAGTTGGGCTTCCCACCGGCACCCAGTACTGACTCCATCTGCGTGGCTGCCTCAATGCGCATGCGGAAAGCCTCAGGGCTACGGTCATCACTGCAACAGTAAGGCCAGGAAAGGGTCATCAGGCAGCCAGGGTAGTACCCAGGGTCCCCAGCAGGACAGCCTCAAAGGTGGGGCCACACCCGCACCACTGCCCCTACTGAACATGGCCACCACCAACCCCAGTGAGACCTGATGAAGGACATATACCACGTACCCAGGACCCTAACTCCTTGTGAGGCAGAGACAACCATAAAAGGTCTCAGGGGTACAGCCCACTCAATCAGATGCCTCAGGACAGACAAGAGACCAGGAACCAGGCCTTCTGCCCCACTTACCTGGCATTCATTTCCACTACACAGTACCCAGCATGCCGTGCAATCACATGTGCCAGGGTGGTCTTGCCCAGTCCCGGGGGCCCACAAAGCAGGGCCACCTGCAGCCGAGATAGAAGATGCACTGCAAACCACACAGCCTTCGGAAGAAGCCTATCTAGCATGAAGCTAAAATCCAAGCCTCACAAGGCTGAGGGCCGCTAGCTATGTCTCCACCCACCAGTCACCAAACAAGAACACTGAGAGTACTCAAAGTGCAAAGCCAGTTTTTTAGAGCAGGAGAAAGTCCTACAAGGGGGAAATTACATGGGGACTTGACAGAGACTCAGTCAGTACCCTGTGGGTGGCCAACACCACAAACCACCCACTGTGCAAACAAACCATGCTAGTTTGACAGAGTCCTTTGAGGGACATTGGCATTTTTAGAACTGTTAGCCAAAAAAGATACAAAATTTAACCACACAATATTAGCACTTCGTATAAACACTGACACCACACTCACAGCCTCTAGGAGAATCAAAGATGCCTCGTGGACCTCCAAGCATATAATACCACCAACTGCTCAGAGGATAGTCTCAGGCTCAGAGGTCTATATCAAGGCTAAGAGGGGCTCACCTTCTGCCGGGGCCGCCGATTTGGATCCAGCTCAGCCTCCAGCATCTCTTCTACCACCTGCTCCTGGCTTTTCCACTTGCCAGAAGCCACAGCCTCCTTGCCAGTCCGGGCTGGCTCTACACTGGGCTTGGGCTTCTTCCGAGCAGGCCTTTCATGGCCGAACACCACTAGATCCCACAGCTTCAGCCACTTGAGCAAGCAGCGGTTGGTGAACTGTGGAGGGAGGCATGACCTAAGACAATTATTCAAACCTTCTACAGTTTTTAGTAACAGCCAGCTGTGGCATGTGTGCCATAGGTACACCACCACTGGCCTTAGGGTCCTGCCTCCCCCTCACATCAGCCTGCTACTGTAAGGCTGTGCCACAGAGGTCCACATCAAGGCTACAGGTAGGGCCACTAAGGCTCAAGAGGACAAAAGACTGCTGGTGACAGAGGGATTCACACTTGGCCTACATCCCCACACCCTGGCCTCTGGGACTCCCTCCTCTCCCCAGGGGACCTCTAGCATCAGAAGCTGCAAGTCAAGAAAGGACACAGGCACAGGGCAGGAGATACCCTGGACACCTAGACCAGCTCACGCAAGCCATAGGTGACCAGCAACAAACCAGATGTGTGGTGTGACTGTTTCCCATCTTGACCCAATGGGGCAAACCACAGCCCCCACTTCATCTTGGCAGCCCAATGGTTTTGCAACGCAAAGATCAACTGAGTCCCAGATTCTTCCCTCTTGCAAACAGGGAAGCCAGTGACACCTGAACAAGGACAAGACCTCACATCATCACTGAGAAGTTCTGTGTAGCGTTGGGGTGCAAATTCATCCACCCAGAGGCAGTGCTGGGAAGTGTCTTGGCCATCAGCAGGCTCCTCCGTGGGTGCCCTGATGGCCTGGGCCTCCTCCTCTTCACACCTGAGGCTAAAGAGTATTGTGTCCTGTGCCAACACACCCAGGCCTGCCCCCCTCACAGAGACCATGGCCACAAATACCCCACAAAGGTTAGCCCCAGAACTAGGAAGGCCCACCAAGTCACCTGTGCAAAGTGTCTGAGAGCCTCTGGGCCTCCTGTACCAGCCGCTGCCGTCGCTATTCAAACAGAACAGGATGGGTCAGGATAGCTTCAATGCCATTCCCCCTACTTTCCACACTCCCCAACAAACCTCGAATACCTCACCTCACTGTCAACCTGTTCCCTCAAGGAAGCAAAGGAGACACCCAGCAGGTCTAGTCGGCTAGGGCCTCGCCACCGGATATCCAAGAGAGGGCCCTGGTTGGGGAAGGCAGGAGTCACCTCTGGACCCCTCCCAGGCCATGAGATCACCCAAAACCTTTGCCCTCCAGACTACATGGATGAGACACATGAAACTGTCTGACCAGGGACAGAAGCCACCAACAGAAAGCAAGTCTAAGGGAGGCAGCTTTAATGGGTAAAGAGGCAGAAAAGGGACTGGGTAGAAGCCTACATGGTAGGGTGGGATTGGAAGGCTGTGCCTGCTAAGGTTGTCCCTCCCACAGCAGCTTTGCTTTCCTGTTCCTGGGCCACATGGATATCCGCATTTCCAGCAAGCCAACGGGCAAAAGCTGCCTATAAATCTGTCAAGAGGCCTGCAGTGGACATAATGTCCGGACCCTTTCCTGGGCAGAATCAACCTGCCTATCCTATACAATGGCCACAGCCAGCCCCACACTTGTAGCTGTGCAGTACCCACCTGCACTCCATTGCCTGTGGAGTCAGGACGGAGCACCAGAAAGGCCCGGTCACCACCTGTGGAGGTCACATTGATGTAATCCTCCAAGACAGGGGGTCGCCTCAGGACAGGATTGTGGGTGCCATGCAAGGCCTGTGCAAGACTTGCATCTGCAGCAGCATCCAGAGGTCTGGGAAGGGACAGGGTTCAGACTCAGGGACTTGTGTCTCCTGTCACACTGTGAAGGTGTACCTGGACACCCTCTCAGCCCACCAGACACGCCCACAGGCCCCCACTCTCAGGGCCTCATCCTAGAAACAGAATCCTAAATCCCTTTTGGACAGACAGGAGGAAAAGGGCTGCCCTAAGCCACGCACCCAGAACCCCACAGCTCAGTGGGGACTTCAGGACTCAGCGGGGGGGTTATGTCCTTTGGTGGGGACTCAGGATACTGCAGCTCCTCCATCTCTGGCCCAAAGTTCAGTCTCTTGACCGCCTCCAGCTTGGACCGCTTGACCTTGGGGGCTGAAGAGACACAACAGAGGGATCGAAACAAGAGCTTCCCACCACACCCCCACCTTAAACAGGGCCTGCCTGTGCACATACTGTAGGGCAGGGGCTCCTTGCTGGGGGCACCGGAATCCGCTTGCCGCTTTCTGGCACCGCGATTGCTGCTGCCTGAAGAACCAGAGGGACAGAGACGATTGGCGGCATCCCCTCCAGCGATGGCCTCCTCGAACGTTGGCCGGGGGCCGGCTGCAGCAGGCGGCGGGGCCTCGGAGGGCGACAGGAAGGGCGTCCCTGCAGAGAAAGGGGTTCACAGCAGATGCTAAGGAACAGGAGTTGAGCTCCGCCTACGCCACTGAAAGTCTTTGCAGACCCGAGCGCTCTAGGCTCCCTGACCCCGCCGCGCGCCCAGGGGCCCGCACCTACCTTCTAGCTCGGCCAGCACCTCGAGCTCTGCCGCGAACTGGCTGTGGAAGTCATCCTCCACGCCGTGCAGCTCCTCCTCATAGTCCTCCATGGCACCCTAACCTATCCCTAACGCTGGGGACACCAGCCCCCTCCTACTCCGTGTCCCGCGCGATCCGAACCTCCCGCGCCACCACCGCCGCCGCCGCTACGCTCTGACCCCACCCCGAGCGTCCCAGTACTGCCAATCAGTGGCCGGCGTGCCCAGCGGCGCTCGCCATTGGCCAGCAGGGCAGGGGCGGTGCTACACACAAGCCGGCGGGCCCAGTCTCGTTCAGTGGTCGCAGCAGGGGCCTGGAGCGCTCACCATTGGCCGGCACAGCCGCTTGTCCGCGGCGAGGCGGGCAGTGGGCGGGGCGAAGGCGGGGCGCGCAGGTACCCGGGTCCCCGCCGGGGTTGGGAACACCGGCTGGAGCCACTGTCAGATGTGACATCTGGGCCCGGAGGGCGCGGACAGCCCGCAGGTCAGTTCTAAGGTGGAACAGAGGTGCGAGAGGCTGTCGGAGCCGGGATCTGTCCATTAGGGCGCGCGCAAGCGGGGCCAAGGGCCGCTGCGGACCTGGGTGGCACCTCTTTTTGCTCTCTGTCCACTTAGGGAAGGCCCACAGCTCTGCTTTTCCTCCCAGATCGGAAGTAGCACAGAGCAAGGCGGACTAACCCCCCACCTCCGAGCGCGCCACCGCGTCCCTTTCCCTCCCTTCTCCGAAGTGAGACAGAAAGGGCTCCCACCTTGCAGGCGCACACATCCCTTCTGAAATGCAGAATGCTGCTGTAGTTCGGACTCCTGGGGCTCACTCCCACCCTCGCGGCAGGCCCTGCCATGGAGCCGGGCAGTGTGGAGAACTTGTCCATCGTGTACCAGAGCAACGACTTCCTGGTGGTGAACAAACACTGGGACCTGCGTATTGACTGCAAGACTTGGCGGGAGACCTTGACCCTGCAGAAACAGCTCCGACACCGCTTTCCAGAGCTGGCTGACCCTGACACCTGCTACGGGTTCAGGTATGTGACCTACACAAGTGTCCCATAATAGCAGCCATTGGAGGGAAGTCGCTGAGACGCTGAACTTTGCCAGGGGGCACTGCTCACCATTCAACAGTGTCTGGGTATCACTGCTCTTTGCCCTCCACAGGTTCTGCCACCAGCTGGACTTCTCCACCAGCGGGGCACTGTGCGTGGCCCTGAACAAGGCAGCCGCAGGCAGTGCTTACAGGTGCTTCAAGGAGCGGCGTGTCACCAAGGCTTACTTGGCGTTGGTAAGGGGGGAGTGGGAGAGGGGGGCCTAGGACTCCTACCTATTTTCACAGACTTCACATGGCCACCTTGATGTTAAGCAGGCTTCCTAATGGCAGTAGGGTGGCCCATTGAGCTACATATGATACCCCTTACCTGGCAGGTTCGGGGCCACATCCAGGAGAGCCAGCTGACAGTCAGCTATGCCATTGGCAAGAACAGCACGGAGGGCCGGACGCATACCATGTGCATCGAGGGCACACAGGGTATGATGGCCAGGGTTGGGGGCCAGGGCCCATATCCAGCAAGGACCCTGCATGGAGTTGGCCCATCTGGGATCAACCCAGCAGGGGATGATACACCTGCCCCTACACCCAGGTTGCGAGAACCCGAAGCCAAGTCTCACAGAGCTGCTGGTCCTGGAACATGGGCTATATGACGGCAATCCTGTATCCAAAGTGCTGCTGAAGCCACTAACAGGTGTGTCCAGGACAGGGGAGGGCTCCAGTCATGTAAGGAAGTGAGCTGAGGCACAGAAACCTTGTGGCCTACCTGGGTTACCTGAGTACCTGGACACAGCCAATGATAAGGTCTGCTGGCTTCTTTTCCTGCTGGGAGAGTTTTGCTGGAGTCTCCAGCAGCACCAACTGTGCCCTGGCTCAGCCCTCACCAGGAGCAAACTCAGAATGGACTCTTGTCTTAGACCTTGATATCTCACATATAATAGAGGACAAAGGGATCCATCCCAAGGGATAGCTATGAGATTCCAAGGCTACAGCAAGGGAACCTTCTGGAGGTGATATAAGCTGGGTGGGATGTGGGCCTAGAGCTACCCGCCCTAGCCTGACCTCCACCTGTCCCACAGGCCGGACTCACCAGCTGCGTGTACACTGCAGTGCCCTCGGCCACCCTATTGTGGGTGATCTGACATATGGGCAGGCCACTGGACAGGAGGACCAGCCCTTCCGCATGATGCTGCACGCATTCTACCTGCGCATCCCTACATTGGCCGAGTGTGTGGAGGCCTGCACGCCAGACCCCTTCCTGTCCACCCTAGATGCCTGCTGGTGCCCCCACACCCTGGTGCAACCTCTTGACCAGCTTGTCCAGGCCCTGCGGGCTGCCCCTGACCCTGGACCCATGGATGGAGACCCTGGGCCCTGTAACCCCTCCGTACCCCTACCTGGACCAGGCTGGGGTCCCCCTGAGACCGAGGCTCAACAAACATCCTACCTGCAGTGGCTATCAGAGTGGACACTAGAACCAGACAACTGAGGGCCATTGTGGGGTGCTGGGCTCAGCTGGGCAAGCGGCTAGCAGGGAAAGCAGAGGGCCAGGCAGGCATGACTGTTGGAGATCAGTGCTCTTAAGCTGTGGGATTGATGCCTGATTAGGGGACCTTCTTCCCAGTGTCTCCTGGGCAAAACAGACTCTTCCTGCTTGATCAGCTTTGTGGCTCCAAAGTTTCGCCCTAGCAGTGGTGGTGAACCTTTGGCATATGTGCTACAGCCAGGTGTTTGTTATCATCAAATGCTCTAAAAGGTTACCCATCACTGCCCTGTGGCCTCATCTGACAGACTTACCAGAGGCCATCTAGCTGGTAGCCTCAGAGCTAGGATCTGGCCAGTCTTTGCCCCAGGTGAATTCTAGAGCCCCACTCACCCAGAGGCCTCCTCACCTGAGCTTTGGCTGCAGGCCCACCCAGTCCTGTGTCCTGCGGCACTCCACTTTCCTCTGATCCTCTTAACTTGCAGCCTGGCCAGATCCTCTCCAGAAGTCCCACCCTGTCTTCTGCCAGGCCTTGCCTGCCTCAGGCCTTTGCTTTAGCTGGACTCTGCCCTGGGCCCTGCCCTCCTTTGCCTGCGTTCAGTGCTTGGCCCTGATGCATGGGGCTGTACGGGGCATCAGCAGAGGCCTGTCCCTTCAAACCCAACCTCTGTGCTTCTGTGGGGCTCCTGGGGTCCTGAGCCCTAGCTGCAGCTCCTACTACAGCAGCACCTGCTTGGCTCCCACATGACCACATGGTGTCAGACTCTGCCTTTAGGAAGCACCCCAGCCTTCCCTTCTCTTTTCCCCACAATAATACCATGCTCTTGACTGTACCTGGGACATACGATTTGGAATAAATGTTCAGTGATCAATGCCAAGAGTGACCATGAGTGCAGTGATCTCTGCTCTAGCCCATCCAGCAGGGCCCACAATACACAAGGTCCTGGCTGCTGACCAGCCCTCCCTACAGGCCTTGTGATTTTGGGCCCTTGAGGCTGGGCTGTTGGGGGCAGAAGCCAGGTAGCCCAGCCTCCCAGTCAGAGGCATCAGGGTATCCAGCCACTCTCACCTGGGGTCCCCTGTGGGTCTACGGTGTGCACCACAGAGGTCGTGGAGCTGGCTTTCAGAATCAGCTCTGTGAGAGAAGTGTATTCCTGAGCTGCCTGCCTTAGTTCTGGGCAAGGTCCCAGCAGCAATTCTGGATGGTGAGGGCCAGAGGGGATGCTTTCTGGGGCCCTGGACCACTTTCCTCACCTTGGCCTCTTAGGGAGGCCAAGACCCCACCTCAGGGTGTGCCCCCTCCAAAACACTCCCCCTTAGCTGTCTTCCCACCTGAGGTGATCTGGTTCATGCCCTGCTTCCTCTGGGTCTCAGGAGGGCAGTAAGTCAGCCACATCAGTCTGGGTTTCCACCAGGCACAGTGTGTACTCATGAGGGGTGTCTCTCAAGGGCTCAGGGGTTGAGCACCCCTTCCTAGTAGAATGATCAGCAGGGCCCTAAGGCTACATAGTCCACTGTTTGTGGACCATGGGTATTCCAAGGGGCTGGTTTACTGTGCACCCTGGTGGACCCCAGGTTTTACACACAGCCATCTTAAAGCATCTCAAAAGGTTGGCCAGGCCTCCCTAGTCCCGAAGCTGAGCCATGTTGAGGCCTGACCTCACATGTCACCAAGGCCAGCAGCTGCTCTCACTTGTAAACTCAAATTTTCCCTTTTGGGGAAAAAAACAAGCAAATAGCAGGTGGGACCACCTTCAGTATCCCCTATATTGCACTCTGCAGGAATAGACAGGGACATCCAGCATCCCTGCCTGGCCCATCTGCCCCTCACCTCTTGGCTGTAGAGTAGACAAGCTCTGCAGGATGTGGAACAAGGCTTCCTAGAAGAGGAGTTTCCTCAGACAAGGAACTCCAGGTAGGGAACCACAGGAAATGTGTGCAAAGGTGCTGGAGGACCTGCCCAGCATGCACAAGCACCAGTATTCCCTGCTGTGTGGCCTCCAGCAACTCACTCAGCCTCTCTGAGCCCTGTCTCTTCCTGTGAAAAACCAGGATTATTGCTGCCTAAGGGCTGTGAGTGGGTTTAATAAACCAATACAAGAGCTTGTGACAGGATGTAGCAGTCTCACAAACAGCTCTCAGTCTCTGGTCTTTTGTCCAGCCTGGACTCAAGGCTACCCTGGAAGCCAGACCCATAATGGGCAGGCCATCTTCTACCTTCACCCCAGCCTGCCCTGGGCTCTGGAGGTACTGTATAGACCCCACCTAACACCCCATCCCCGAAGACCCCTCAGCGTCCAGAGCCATTTTAAGACCTTATACAGCCAAGGCCTGCTCCCAGGAAGTACTAGGGCTCAGGGTAGGCCTGCCCTCTCTCTCCAGGACCCTCCCCCAAGCCTGCTGCCAGAGTTTGGCCCCTCCAGGCCACATGCCCTTCACCTCTGCCCAGTGTAGCTGTGGCACTTGCTCTGTCTGCTATGCTGGTAGTGGTGGTGGCTAAAGGACCCTTCGAGCCCTATCCTGAGCTGGATGAGGCTTTGGATCGTCTAGGCCACCCTGTCGGGGCCCTGGACCATGCTTCCAGGCTCTGGAGGGGACTGTCCAAGGGCTCTTGGAGCCTTCGTCTGTCATCAGCACTTCCAGGGCCTGACTCAGCCCAACTTGCTGGTACCCAGTATCCTGGGCTACAGGCAGATGGTGGCTACATCATTATACCATAGAAGCGTGAGCCCCTGGAACCCTGAGAACTATAGCTGGGTAGAGGGCCAGGGCTGAGGCCATGGTCCAGGGCCAACCTGAGGTAACCATGCCTACCCATTTTGGCCCAGGAAAAGCTTCTTTAGGCACCATTGGCAGCAAATAGGGAAGTCCCTCTTGCAGTCTCACCTCCTCCCCTGGGCCCTACGAGTCCTTCCCAGCAAAGCCATCCCACTCTGTGCCGGGGGACTGACATGGCTGCAACTGTCAGAGGCCTGAGCAGGGCCATCAGCTGGAACAGGGCTGTGTGTATCTGGGCTCTCCCAAGCATGGGCCTCTGCATGCTCACTCTGCTCTGTACCCACTAGCCTGTGCTCATACCTGCCCAGGCCTCTATCCATCCCCACAGAAGGGCCAACTAGCTACCATATTGGTCCATGAGTGCCTCATGTTGGGGAAACACAAGCACAGGTATGTATAAGCTCCAGGACACACAGATGATGTGAACTGAGATGTACCTGTATTGTGCACACAGACACTGGCACCTGTGGCAAAGGTTTGCTCACATCCCACCCACCTAAGCATCATAGCCGCCCAGGACTGGGCCCACAGAATGGGGCAGTGCTGGGCAGCTGCCAACCATGAGCTCAGCTTTCTGTCCCCCTGGGACTAGGAAGCAGGCATCCGCTGAGCTGGGCCCCTGGGAATGATGAAGCAGCACCCCAGCCCTCACCTAGGCCCCTCCCCACAGGCTGTCTGGCAGGTGTCACTGGGGCCTACCAGTCAGAGCAGTTGTGTGCAGCCTGCTGGGCAAGGCATGGAGGCAAGTAGGGCCCCCAGTGCCCCAGCACTACACCACCCCTACTCCCGGGCTGATGAGCTGCGCAGCATCTACAGCACCTGATCTATAGCTCCCTCTATCCACTGCACGTGACCAGGAGCAGCCTTGTCCCCAACGCCTGGGCAGCATCTCCTCTACCCAGTGTTTCTGCTCAGGTGAGAGGCATGGGCAGGGTGGGCCTGCCAGCTGGGCCCCAGGGTTCCTGGCTGCACTTCTGGTCACTGGACATCCCCAGAGAGGAGGCTGAGTCTCTCTGAGTCTCCTTTCTGCTCCTGGCACAGGGGTGACAACCTCTCTATCCTCCCCTCAGCTTTGTAGATTTCTGAGTCCAAGCGAGCCCAAAGCCATCAGACTGTGCTCACTGTGCCTAGAGGAGCCAGCGGTACACACCTGTCCAGCAGCCCTGGCCGGGTCCCCAAGTCCCAGGTTCCAGTGATAGAGCTAGTGTATAAGTCGTGAAGAGGAGACAGCAGGCACCTGGGCTGCTGGGTGAGGGGGCACCTCTCCCCCAGGACCTGTGGGACTCACTGTTTGTAAGAGATCTGTTAATTGGAGACACTGCTGTAGCACGGGTCCCCGGAGCCCGACCTGTGATAAGAAAGGCTGGGCTTGCAGTTTGTCTCTCCCCATTCTGACGCTTGTTTGTGGGATTATTTCCCTCCCAAAGGCAAGCAGATAGATGTACTGGGGCCCCACCCAGGGTCAAGAATCCTGCGTGACACTGGATATCTCCCCTTCTGTGCCCTGAAGCCAGCCTACATCCCTCACCTCCCTTCTCTCCATCTAGTCCTGGACCTACTGCCTGCTATCCTATTGTCTTCCTGCCCAGGGACATCTCAGCCAGGATGACCAGTGCTTGCTGCCGCTCTGCCAAAGGCCCCAGAGTAGGTAAGATGACACTTCCCTGCAGAAAGGGTGCCCTGGGCCATCTGGGAGTCTAGTAGGCCCACATGGTAGGGCCATACGCTTAGCTGCAGAGGCAGAGGATGCTCAGTCCTTTGGCCACCCTATCCTCATGAACCCAAACTGGGGTATATGCCCCAAAGAAAGGGGAGGAAGGCAGATTCCCCTAGCACAAAGGGTTAGCTGGGTGGTACAAAGAGACATTGTGAACACAGCCCTTGTAAGGACCTTGGGGTCCCAGAAGGAACAGAAGACCCATGGCCTATCAGGCATGGTAACGCACACCTGTAATCCCAGCGGCTCAGGAAGCTGAGGCAGGAAGATTGCAAGTTTGAGAATGACCTGGGCTACATAGTAAGACCTTATCTCAAAATGAAAACAGTAGAAAGGGCTGGGGTAAAGCTCAGCAGCAGAGTACTTACCAAGCATACGGGAAGCCCTGGATTCAATCCCAAGTAACATGGAAAGGGCAGGGGTTGCTGGCCCAGCCAGAAGGACATAAGAAGAGTTTTTTCTCATAGTCCCAACACAGGCCAGCCCCCTAGGCAGGGAGAGGTGATAGAGCCCAGAGACATCCAGCCCAGTCCTGTCCTCCTGAGAAGAGCAGGGACATAGACCCAGCGTTTGAGGACCCACAGAGAGTTACCTTGGCCAGTGCAGCATCTGCCAGGCCCAACCCCCATCCATGGGCCCTTTCTGTGCTGGAGATTTTGCTAAATGGTCTTCCCAGGGCCAGTGAGATGGGGCTCCCTGGACGCAAATCCAATCTAGTGGGCTAGGCTTCCGAGGCCAAAACAGAAGCCAGGCTTCCTGAGTCCCTTTCAGAGACCCTGTTGCACCCCACTGCAGAGGCTAAGGGCCTTGGAATGAGGTAGGAGTTAACATCCACCCCTGACTCAGGGTCTCAGGGCTCAGACTGAGGACAGAACCACAGCAGGGAGGTCTGGCTGGAGGGCAGAGCTAACACACATGCACACATCAGCACACAGGATTACACTCCGACCTGTGCCACCTGCAGGGCCAGACTGTGTACACGAGCCTGCATAGTTCTCAGAGTCCCCTCTGGCCTTCCCGCTGGACTCAGTGGCCGTGGTAGGGGTCACAGGCCCAATCAGGACTCAAGGGTCCTTACACAGACCCCAGAGGACAAAGGCACCCATGCTCACCCTGACACTGAGCCCTCAGAGCCCACTCTGTTCCAGGTGCCTTGGCGAGCCCTGGCCTCGCCCTCCTCCTGTCCCTCACTGCTCACTGCTCTAGTCCCCGGGCTGAGGGCGTCCTCCAGGGAGGGCTGGATGTCAGCGAGGTCGACCCGTGGGCCAGGTGAGTGCGGGGGGGCAGGTGTTCCTGCAAATCCAGTGTTTTCTGTGGCTGCTTCATGGAAAGAGGAGAAGGAGGAGGAGGAGGTTCTGATCCTGGGCTGGCCCGTGATGTTCTTCTGGGAGGGACCACATCCAAGGATCTGAGGCCTTGGGAGGGAGGGCCACTACCCTAGGTTTTGACCTACAGGACCTTGCCCCAGGTGACCCAGCATGTCTAGCTTCAGTTACAGTTCAGGAATGGGTCCTCAGGCCATCGTCCAGCTTGCTCCCCAGACAGGTATACCAGAGGCCTAGCCAAATCTACAACCTTGGCCAGCACCGCCTGAGTTTGCCCTTGGGGCTCCCGGCTTTTGGACCCCAGCTCTGGCACCTGCTGTAGTAGCCTCAAGGCCATCACTTCTCCCCAGGTCCTCTCAGCTCCCTGCCCATCCCCCAGCTTGGTTGTTTCTTGTCTCTACCCAGGAGCCTCATTCTGGGCTTGGCCTCTTCTTCTTCCCTAGGATCTGGTAGTCACTGATGGGTCCACCAATCAATTAATGAAACAATTAGTCAGGCAGGACCAGGGTCCCACGTGGGACCAACCAAGCCCAGGCTAAGGCCATCTGAGACCCCTCTTATAAGGACATGCTATTCCAGTCTTACCCTGAGGTGGGCTCAGAGATGGCCTAGGCCAGTGATGGCGAAACTTTTAGAGTTTTCAATAACAAACAGCCCACTGTGGCTCACATGCCATAGACTCACCACCAGTGGCCTAGGCTGTGGCCACTCAGCAGGTGCCTCTAGGCCCCTCAGCAGCCTTCCGGGATTGTCAGGGCCTGGCCCAGGAGCCACAGCAGATGGACACCTGAGCACACATAAGCTTCGTGCAGCAGAGAGCTTGGCCCACACAGGCTACTCAGGCAGGGAATGAGTGAGTAGAGCAGGAGTCTTATGTGACAAACCACTTCCACCTCTCACTCCCTGGAAAGTAGACAAATCTGCCCTTGCTGGAGTTTCCCCTAACAGCTCTGTGGTCTCTTATGGCCTTGTCCTCCTGCTCAGGGCCAATGCCGCCCTCCTGCAAGATTTCTGGTGCCAGCCAGCTGGCCAGCTGCCACGGGAGCAGCTCTCTGCTCTGCTCAGGAGCCTGGCATCACAGCACGTCCCACTCCAAGCCTGGCAGGTAAGCTCCGTGGAAGGAGATGTGAAGGGGAAGCCAGGCCTTGGAGGGGATCGGGGGATGCGGGTAGGCAGCTCCTCTGAACAGATGGCCAGCTCACAGCTCGGCCAGTCAGCCAGGTTCAACACCACCTGGGTATGCTCTGCAGTGGCCCCACCAGGACAGGGAGTTTGGTCTCTCTAAGATGGGCTCTTCCTCTTGCAGCAGCACTGTGGTGTAGCGTATGCCACTTCAGCCACTTTGCCTGCAGTTGCTTCTGCTTCTTGTTCCTGATGAGGACAAAGCTCATCTGCTTCCCCTTCACAGCCTCCTGGTATGCAGTGCCCTTTCCTCCAAGCTTCCAGGCCTCATGTGTTGATGGGTTGCCAGACCAATGGTCTCTGCCCTGACTGAGGCTACAAGGCCCTGAACTGGGAGAGAGGCCAGCAGAGCCCACCTGGACCCTGTAACAGACTCAGGCATCATCCATCCCTGAGTTAAAAGGAAGAAAGGAAAGGGCAGGAGTGGTGGCATACACCTGTAATCCTAACACTCTGGGAGGCTGAGGCAGGAAAATCACTGTACATTTGAGGCCAGCTTGGGATACATAATGAGTTCAAGGCCAGCCTGAACTACATAGCGAGACCTTGTCTCAAAAGAGCAGAAAAAAAAAAACTCTGAAATCAGTCATCCTAGATGTGGCACATACCCATAATCGCAGCACTCGAGAGGCTAAGGTAAGAGGATCGTTGCAAGTTCGAGACCAGTAGTGAGCTCAAGGCCAACCTGAACTGCACAGCAAGACTCTGTTTCAAAAAGACAAAAAGCAAAAACAAAAACAGTTGTCCAAGACTCCATGTTAGAGGAGGGGGAGCAACCCAAGGCTAAATGAGCAAGAGGAAATAGTGAAAACTGGAGCAGAAGTCAGTGAAGCTAAAAACAGGAAATCAAATCCAAAAGAAGCTTCTTTGAAAAGATCAATACATCCCTAGCCAGCTGAAGGAAAGGAAAAAGAAACAGAAATTATTAATATCAGCAGTGAAAGAGGGGTCAGCACTACAGAGCTTATGGGTAATAAAAGAACATCTGAGTGCACAAATGTAATAGTTTAGATGAAATGGACCACTTCCCTGAGACACACTCTGGAAGCTCACACAGGGGAAGTAGGTCATTGAAGAGGCTACTACACATTAAAGATGGAAGCAGTAATCTACCTGCCAGCACTGACTTATAGTTAATATTTTCCAGGATTTTTTTCTTTAGTTGTACCTTATAAACTGCATAGAGCTGAATTATTGTAAATCTAATCTGAAAATCTCTGGTTTTTTAATTGCAGAGTTGGTCTGTTTATGTCTATTAGGATTGTTAGGTTTTGGGGGTTTTGTTGTTTGGGATACTAGGGATTAAACACAGGACCTTTGCACTAAACTACATCCCCAGCCTTTTTTTTTTTTTTTTTAAGACACAGTCTGTCTATGTAGTTCAGACTGGACTTGAACTTACTGTGTAGCCCAGGTTGGCCTTGAACTTACAGTGATACTTCTGCTTTAGCCTCCCCAGTGCTGAGATAGGTATGTACCACCATCCCTGGTATGGTTTTTGTTTGTTTGGTTTTGTTTTGGGGGATTGTTTTTGGTTTTTTGGGGGGTTGGGTTTTTTTGTCTGTCTTTTTGAGACAGGGTCTCTGTGCAGTTCAGGCTGGCCTTGAGCTCACTTTGTAGCCCAGGTTGGTCTTTTGGGGGGTTGGGTGTTTTTGTTTGTCTTTTTGAGACAGGGTCTCTATGCAGTTCAGGCTGGCCTTGAGCTCACTTTGTAGCCCAGGTTGGTCTTGAACTCACAAGGATCCTCCTGCCTCAGCCCCCTGAGTGCTGGGTTTACAGGCGAACACCACCACACCCAGCTGTTTGGTTGGTTTTTGGTTTTTGGTTTCTGTTCTTTATTTTTTGTTTTTGAGACAATGTTTTGCTAAGTTTCCCAGTCAGGACTTGAACTTGCAATCCTCCTGCCTCAGCCTTCCCTAGTGCAGAGATTATAGGTACACACAACCACACCTGTCTGGTTGTTGCTTTCTTAGGCCTTGTTTCTTCCATCTGATTTTTCATTTTTCTGAGCTGCCTAGAACTTTCTCACACATGTGCTTCAATTAGTGGGGTGAATATTGAAACCTTCTGCTGAGGAGGGGTCTGGGGCCAAACAGGACAGAGAGTAACCGCTGCCCATCTTGCCCAGCTCAGCTGCTTGGCCAACCTTGCCTCCCAGCTCAGCCTACAGGATGACTTCGCACTCCACCCACCAGACCTCCTGCTTTTCTACAAGTGAGTGTCAACCCCATAGCTTCCTCAGTCACTCAGGATATCCTGCCAGCACAGGCTGAGCTGCCTCTTCCAGGCTCAGGCCTCCCTTATGTCCTCCCACCTACCTGCAGCCTGAGCCAGGTGAGGGAAGCCAACTGCCGGGCCTTCACCCGCCGCGCAGCCCAGGGGAACACAGAGCTGTTGGCTAACCTGCCTGACCAGAGGGTTGCCCTGCGGCATACAGCCTTGGCCTGCCTGGTAGGCACCTTAGATGGGGACGGGACAGCCACACCATGGATCCAGGCCTCTTGCTTAACACTGGTCTGCTGTCCCCACAGGGGGGACCCCACCTGCAGCTCAGTGCCTCAGACCTGGGGCTCCTTGGGGTCTTGGTGTGTGACATGGATGCATCCAGCATTGTGACTGCAGACTCCCATGTGCTGCAGAACCTGTTACGCTGCCCCCGGCTGAGCACCTCCCAGCAGACTGCCTTCAACACCCTCCTGGCCAGTGGGAGAACCCAGCTTGGGTGGGTGAGGCATTGGGTGAAGCTAACACCTCTCCTCCTTGAGATGAAATGAGTGGCAGCCTGGGTTTGGGCTCATGAGGTCACTGGTGTCCTTAGTCCTGCTGACGTTTGACTTCTGACCCTGGCTGTCAGCCTCATTCTGTCCCTGCAGGCTGTGGACACAGGGTTGCTGAGGAACCTATGAACTATGTAGACACTTCCAGGGGGCTGAGTGCACCTGAGAACCCATTGGATGTTCCTCCTGCAGGCCAGGTGCTGCCCCAGACCCTGACATGGTTCCCTTCCTCTGCACTAGGACTCCCGGCTCCTGGAACCTGGAGGGGCTGCAGGCCCTGGGGCCCCTGGCAACCTACATAAGCCCCCACCTGTGGGAACAGGTGCAGGAGGTACAATGGGGTGGGGTGGGTACATGTAGATGGGAATGCATCCAGCTGTCCCTTTGACCAGGCTGTCCAAGCATGAGGCCACTCTGAGGCCTGAATGTGGGACAAGGAGCCAGGCTGTTCCATAATATGAAGCCACCAAGCCTCTCCTCCCAGGCTGTGGGCCTGGACTTCTTTCGCAGCATGGTGGCTGCCTGCCGGGTGGGGCACCTCAGCCAGTCTGATGCCCGGCGCTTCGTCACCAGCTTCTTGGAGTCCAAGGCCAGCTCAGTGTCCTCAAGGCCCAAGCGAGGTACAGGTCAGTGTGGACACGGTGGGCTGGGATGCTATGTCTCCCCGAGTCTGGACTCCCCACCCTGGCCTGGTTGGGACCAAGCTCTGGGTTAGAGGTCAAGATTGCAGAGCAAGTCAAAGTATGATTAAGGTCAGAAGTGGAGATCAGAGTCAAAGGTGGCCCTCCAAAACCAAATGAAGTGGCATAAACCTGTAATCCCAGCACTCTGGGTGGCTGAGGCAGGAAGTTCAATCCCAGACTGTGTAATTTAGCAGCTTAGCAAGATCCTGTCTCAAAATAAAAAAAATTAAAAGGGCGGGCTATATAACTCAGTGTAGCACAGGGTCCTGAGTTCAATTCCCGGTACCAAAAAAAAAAGTAACTCAGTGTAAGGGTCTTGGGTTCAATCCCCAGTACCAAGAAAGAAGAAAAAAGATGGCCCTCAACACAGGTCAAAGATGACCTCTAAGTCATCGGCATGTTTTGCAGGAAGATCCTGCATTCGTGGCAACATCACAGCGGCCACACTACAGGACGACCTCTTCCTGGTGCATTATGACTGTGCCCAGCTGGAGTCTTGCCTGGGCAACCGCGTGCTCAGCGCCAACCTGGATCCCCTACTGCAGCACCCACTGCCTGCTGAGTGCCAGCGTGTTGTCAAGGCCAAGCTCACTCAGGTGTGCGGTGGGCAGGGCAGGCAGGTATGAAGGGGCGTGGGCATGGCCACTGATGCCACCACCTGCCCCAGATTTACCCGCATGGCGTGCCTGAGGACCAGCTGCACCTCATCACCTCGCTGGTCTACCTCTACTCCTGTGCTGAGATAGGCCAGTGGAACATCACTTCTGGGGACACTGTGGTGGCCCTGCTGGCCTCGGATGTGGCCCTGGAGAACCAGACAGAGGTGAGGACAAGGAGCTGTCTGTCAGCCTGGCCCACAGACCCCCAACCCTAGAGATATCTGCCAACCCCACTGACCCCAACCCCCCTGGCTTTGGTCCCCTGACCCTGGCCCCAATGACCCCAGCCTGCTGACCCTGGCCCCACCCCCAGGCAGTTCTCCAGAGATTCCTGGACCACAATGGCATGGTCACTGGTGCCCTACTCTTGGCCATTGGGGGTTCCCGCCTTTGCTGGATGAGCCCCAGGCAGATCTACACCATCCAGCCCTCGGAGTTCCGGTGAGCTGCCCAGCCAGCCATCCACCTGCCAAAGGTCACAAGGGGAAAATGAGGCTCAAGTGAGAAATACGGTCTGGGCCAGGCCATTGGAGGTGTATGGTTCCTAAGGGCCACCATAACAAAGTACTACAGGCTGAGTGTCTTAAACAACAAATTTATTCTCTAAAACTGGAGACCAAGAATGCAGGGTGAGACCTGCAGGGAGGGTCCTTCCTGGCCTGAGGTCCACTGTTACCCCCAGGCCTTGGTGTTTCCTGGCCTGCATATGTGTCCCCGCAGGCCCCATCTCATCTTTGGTGGCTCCTCCCTGTCTCAGTTTAAACTATCCTGTTGCCAGGCGTAGTGGCTCATGCCTGTAATCCCAGCACTTGGGAGGCTGAGGCAGGAGGATCATTGTGAGTTAGAGACCAGCCTAGGCTACAAAGTGAACTCAAGGCCAGCCTGAACTGCATAGCAGGACCCTGTCTCAAAAAGACCAAAACAAACAAACAAACAAAAAAACTCAACTCTCCTGTTGTCATGAGATAGCCAGGCACTGGATTTAGGGCCTTCTTACTCTAATCTGACTTCATCGTTTAATCTGATTTTATCCACAAACACTGTTTCCAAATAAGGTCACATTCTGAGGTTCCAGGTGGGCAAAGATTTTAGGTGAACACAAATTTTGAAGGGGGTACTGTTCAACCCAGGATAGAGGGCAAGAGGAAAGCTGAAGTTTGGGGGAAGTGGCCCCTCCCCAGCAGTGTGGAGGTCATAGGGCCCCAGCCTGCTCATCAACACTCGCTACCCTCCAGGCTGGCTGGGGCCCCGGACCTCTCCTCTTGCCCTCAAAGCCGGAAGAATGTGCTCTTTGCCAAGGCCCGAGAGGCCTTCAGCAACACCAGCACCACAGCTGACTACTACCGCCTCATGCGCCCATACCTTGGTGAGACCCTGCCCTGCATGGGTCCCCAGAAGCATTGCTCCCCAGAAGCTCCCAACCCTCATCCCTCACCACTGCCCCCACAGGCGGTGCCCCCATGGAGGAGCTGCAGCACCTGGCCCAGGCCAACATCTCCATGGACATTGACACCTTCACCAACCTTAATCCCCACGTGCTGCAGGTGGGGCCTGAGCATCTGGCAGGTGGTAGGAGGCAGGGCAGGTCCCTGGGTGCCAGGCCTGCATGCCCCACAGTCAGAGTAGCACAACCATTGTGGGCCCCTGTCCCTCTCCAGGCTGGCCCTGCTCCCACCCCCATCCACATCAGTGCCTGGTCCTGGGAGATACACTGATCTCAAAGGATTCTCCCTTGGACCCCTCCCCCACAGCCCTCTGGCTTCCCTCACAGTGTCTGAGTGTCGGCAGTGTGACCACGCTGCTGGGCCAGAATGTTGGGGACTTGCAGAAGGCCCGCAGCCATCCGACTGTCAGCTCCTGGCTACGCAGCCTCAACAGGTCGGCCCTGGGTGAGCTGGGCCTGGACACCAACCTCGCCAGTGCCACCCCTGCCCAAACGACCAGAAGACTCTCCAGCACTACCTGCCCAGTGTCCCATCTGGCCACACCCTCCAGACAGTCAGGGAACATCAATGCAGCCTCCACCTCAGGTACAGCCTACACCCCCTCACTGTCCACTGTAGGCCTCTGGCTGTTTCCAGTTCTTATCTCAGACCTTCTCTCTCATCTGCCTCTGGAGTGACCTCTGGGTGACACTGGTGTCATCCTTCATTGCCTGCTGAACCATTTAGGGACACAAGTGCCCCCTCTAACCCTGACAAACAGCAGAAAGTGGGGCTGGGAGAAGTTCCTCAATCCCTCTTGGGCGTGGAAGAGCTTCCATAGATGGAGGTCCATGCTGGTCCTCCCCAGCTCAGAGAGGCTCTGGCCGGGACTGAGGGGCCCATCTCATCCTCTTTAGGTAGCCCACCAGTCAACCTGGCATACCTGTCCCTCTCAGTGGCCCTACCCTCCAGCCTTCTGTGGCTACTACTGCTTGGGCACCTCCAGGCCCAATGTGGCATGATCATGCAGCACCAGGACCCTGGCCACTGCAGACAGCTCTGACCATGGTGACCAGCTCCATGGGCATCACATACAAGATAAACAGAGCTGTTAGAAGGAGCTGGTTGCCTGCCCAGACAAGGTACAGCCCTTTCCCAGGAGACCTGTGGTGTCCCTGTCCTAGAAGGTCTGTAGGTCTGGTCCCACATACCTCAGCTCCCAGGACCAACATCTCTAAGGCGATGGGACCTGTCTAGCCACAGGCCCAGGCTGGCAGTGAGGACAAGGCCAGGCCCTCTCCAGGATAACTGGAGTCAGGTAGAGCTCTGATCTCACTGTCCTTGGGCGTAGATCTGAATAAAAGTATAAAGCTGTCTGCTGCCCGTGTCTTTCCTGGGCCCTAGTAGGAGCACAGAGACCTTCCTCCAGACACCCTTCAGCTGGGGGCTTGGGAACAGAACTACTATCACTTTGGGGACAATAGCAAGCCCACCAGGAGGGCCTCAGATAGCCCCCACTGGCTTGAAGCCACACCCTCGTGCCCATCTTCCAAACGGTGGGAGGGGGAACTCAGTCTTGTTCACAGGTTACAAGAAGCTCCAGAGTCATCCCCACCTGGTCCTTGGAACAGCACAGCGCTTGTCTGCAGAGGGATGGGCTACTGTTTATTGAGCTCAAATGTCCTTGGGCCAGACATTGATCACGTGGGCCTGCTCCCACATAGTGGAGCTCCACAATGGGCAGGGGCCAGGGGCTTTGGGAATGGTAGCCTCAGTTCAGAGTCCCAGCCACAAGCACAGCCCGGGTCAACGCCAGCACAAGTCCAGGTGCAAGGAGGTGGGGTCCTCCAGAGAAGGCCTCTGCATGGAGAGGAGGTAACTCAGACCCTCCCCCTACCTCCATGGGTAGCAATTCTGCCCCCAGGCTGCCCCAGCCCACCTCGTCGTGAGTTGAGGTCCAGGACCATGTAGCCATTGGGGATACCACCACGAAGTCTCAGCCCCAGCATATCCAGGTCTTCCTGCCGCTGCTGGAAGATCCATTCCTTCACAGGACTGTTCCTCTCCTCTGCCTTCAGGCCTGCCACGTTCCGTCCCAGAAGGTTTTGCACCTCGGCCACGGTCAGCCGCTGCCAGAGCACCAGGCAGTCATCAGGGGCTCCAGGCTGTCCTGGACGCTGGGTCTCCATTATGCACAGAGCACACATGCCTCCTGGGCACACGGATGCCTGCCTGGCTCCCTCCAGACTTCCTGCTTTGCCAGCTGGCCCCGATTCAAAGGGCCCCACCCAAGGCCCCGCCCACCACTAGACTCCACCTCCTTGAGGCTCCGCCCCTCTTACCTCCACAGCCTTGACTGGCAGCTTCTTAAATGTGGCCATGTCCATGCTTACATTCTGGTGGCTGAGGGCCTGCAGGTCCTCTATGGAGGCCCCACCTGCTCAGAGAGAAAGGATCCCAAGCTCCAGACCTCACCTCATACGGTAGTCTTCTCATCACAGCTACAGGAAGCCCACTGTGAGTGCGTGAGTGTGTGTGTGTGTGTGTGTGTGTGTGTGTGTGTGTGTTGTACTGCAGATTGAACCCAAGAGTGTACTCCTACAGAGCTACATCCCCAGTCCTTTAATTTTATTTTGAAACCGTTCTGAGTTACTAAATTGCCCAGGCTGGACTTGAACTTTCAACCCTCCTCCTGCCTCAGTCTTCCAGAGTGCTAGGATTATAGGCATGTGCCACTGGGCCTGGCTAAAGCCCAGAATTCTTTCCAGCAATTCCCTTCCTCCTAAGAAATTCCCACTCTGGCTTTGCCTGGCCAATGCCTGACCCCTTAGCAAGAGAGGATCAGTCCCCTAGCAGGGCTAGAATTCACAGCTTCTCACATGTTTTAAGAGGCAGGGGACAGGCTGCCCTGCGGCACTGGCCTATAAGGGATATGTTGGCACCCTGGCTCACCCAGGAAGGGCTGGATCTTCTTGAAGTACTCTAACCCGCTCACATTCTGGAATGCCAAGCGGGCCTTGGGATAGAGAACGACCAGCTGCTTTGAGTTGCATGTGTCCAGGTCCTGAGGCCTGGCTTCCCTAGAAGTGGAGTGAAGCAGGCAGTGAGTAGGGGGGTTCGGTACACTCACCCTGCCTGACAGAGCCCCCAGACTCACCATAGGAGCCTGGCAGGCACAGACCCCAGCTGCTCAGGACTGAGGGCACACAGGTAGGTGGGATAAAAGCCAGCCAAGGCATCCAGAATATCTTTGTCCAGCTGGCCACTCCCCTGCAGGTAGCGGGCAGTCAGGGTGACCACCTGTGGAAGGAAGTCATTCAGCTACCTTGGGGCAGGGAGCAATGTACCCCTGCCAGCCCCAGCTGGACACCCTCATGCCAGACACTCCCCTCAGGCAGGTGGTCACCTTAGTGTCCATATTTGGCCTTTTGCTGACTTTGAGCAGAGCTTTCAAGGTGTCCAGGGAGGTCACATTCCACTTCTGAATGTCCTCAGGGCTCATGAGGTGGAAGAAGTGGCCCAGGCTCAGGATCAGGGACTCAGGGTAGCCTTGTGGGTAGGTCTATGGGGGAAGTGACTGTGAGGTTCAGAGACCCTCCCTGGCAACTGGGGGAGTTCTGGGCACAGCAAGCAGGCAGGAACACACAGCAGAAGTTACCTCATCCAGTTTGCGCTTAAAGATGTGGAGCTGCTGGTAGGTAAAGGGAATGGCATTCACTCGGTCCATCTGTGTAGCCAGCAGGGCACCATCCACACAGGCCTCCAGTTCCCAGTCAGCATAGAAGAAGAGGTCTTCCTCCACCACTTGGGGCTTCCGCCCTGGGGGACAGACCTTCTCTGCAGAACAGGTGGGTGTCAAGGGCCAGGCTGCTCCTTTCAACCCCTCCTTCCTCCCATAAATGCCACAAAACCTTGAGCCTCAGTTTAGCCACTAGCAAAATGGGGCGATTCTGCCCACTCTATGAGGTTATGATTGAGCCAACTGAGGAGCCAGGAAGGGTTGTAGGTTGGGGCAGGTGAGACCCTCCAATTCCAGACTGCAGCCTGGCCCAGCAGGGTGTGGAGCTCACCCTCTGCGCTCCGCTTGAGCCTCACAAGGATGGTGGTCAGCTCAGGCCATTGCCCAAATGGCTCCTGGGAGGTATGATGCAGCCAGGCATCCGTGACCCCCTGAGGACAGGACAGGGTGGCTCAGCTGCATGGGCCCAGTGGCTCCATACACACATTGGGACCAGGTCTCACCTTGGGGATGGTACGTATGATGGACTGGTCCAGCACAGCCAGCAGGTTTTGCAGGGCATCCAATGTAGAGACCGACCACCTTGATGCGGGGCTGTCCAGATACAGGGGCTTGGCTCAAGAACTGCCCCCTGCGTCCAGCCCCAGACAGAGAAGGCAGGGGGTAGAGCCAGAGTTGGGTACCTCCCTGCAGAGGTGCTGTGAAGGGGACCCTGGTGGACACGGATATGGTGCAGCAGGGTATAGGAGACCCTGAGCTGCCCAATGCAGATGAGGATTCCCTCAGACACAGCTGCCCATGAACAACCAACCCGAGCACCCTTCAAAGTCCCAGACACCCCTCCTCACCCATAGGGTGTTTCTCCACCCTGCAGAGCTGCCCTGGCTGCCTCCTGTTGGTCCTGGTCCAGGGGCCCTGGGCAGGCTGCCAGCCGGGGGAGGACAACTGCCGCAGAGTTGACAACAAAGTGCCCAGGCAGGTCACAAGCTAGGCCTCCCAGGGCCTGTACGTTGTCCTCACTCACCCGAGACCCCTGCACACCCTGCATAGGCAATAGGCCTCAGCATCTCTGGGGAACCACCAAGCCCCTTCCTTACTTACTGCCTTGTCCCAGGCTCCGTCCAGTACCTGGCAGGCCAGAGCTGCAAGCAGCAGCTGCCGCCGCTTAGGAGCCCCCCGCGGGAGCACATCCACATTGGCCTTGGCGATGCCAGAGAAGAACTGGGTACAGGCCTGGGGCCCCATGAACAAGTCTGGGCTGCAGAGGGAGGGTGGGTGCTGGGGCCTGCCATGCAGACTACTACACATCCCTACCTGAGGGCTGGCCCATCTGAGCCACCGATTCCCTGTGCTTTGGGAAGGGGGCACTCAAGCCTGGAGGGTGTCCCTACTTGAAGAAGGGCAACATATCCACTGGAAAGCTGTCCAGGTTCTTGGGGACGAGGTGCTTGGAGAGGTGAAGTGCCAGACAGTGTAGCTGCCAGGAGACCAGAAATCCAGCTCAGAAAGTTCTGGGCCTAAAGATGGCCCAGGGACCCCTGGTTGATCCCAGCCCACACATCCCATACTGGCCCCACGCCCTGCTCACGTGGAGTTGTTCCTCTGAGAGCTACCCTGCTGGGGCACCAAGCACACAGGTGCTGGCCGGCAGCCTTCTCCCCACCCCAAGGCTCACCCACTCCACATCTTGCCTCCTACACCCTTTGGGGGACAGAGCTACCAGGGTGGCTGTGATGCTCTAGGAGGGGACAGCAGGGTCATCTCAGATTTGCCCCCAGAGAACTAGAGCCAAATGGGGAAAGGTACCTTCATGGTCAGACAGGTGGCTGAGGAGCTCTGGGAAGAGTCACAGCCAGGGAGAAACCCTCAGTGAGCAGTAGTGTGGTAGCCCTGAGGCCACCAACTCCTTAGCCTCTCCTACCCCGACTAAGGACTGACCTGATCCACCCGGAGAGTGACATTCTTCTGCCTTATGGTCATGGCCAGCTCCTGGGCACGCTCAATGCTCATGCCAGACACCTCCGTACAGGTGAAGTCACAGAGGAGGCTGGGGTCAAGGCTGGGGGCAGGCCAGGGGTATGTACAGGGCTTCCCTGCCCCCACATCACCCCCACAGTGGACCCTATGCACACCCTGGAGGGCAAAGTACCACCATCCTCTGGAGGGGCAATCTCTTCCCCAACCCCAGTCCCAGCTAGGCACGGAGGACATGGGGGGACATAGGCTCAGGAACTTGAGCATGAGACTTGGCCATGACTCAAGCCCCCCAGAGCCCTTGAGGGACATGGGGTCCTGCACTTACCTGGCAAGGTCATTCTTGCTGGCCAATACTGGGTTGAGGAGGTTAGGCGTCTGGGGAACAGGGCCTGGATGATGGCTCCCCGGGCAGGAGCTTCTCAGGCCTAGCTGTTCCCTCAGCCCAGCTCCCTGCTGGGACCATGTCTTCGGCTCATGGCTTGACTGCTTCCTGATCCAGCCCCTCCAGGCTCAGACACACCCTTGCAAGTGGGCACCTCTGAACTCTGGTAGATTTGTGCATGTCCCCCACCCCCAGGAAAAGCCGAGACCTCCACCAGAACCAGAGGGCGCTGCCATTCCCCAGAGGACCTCACCTGCTGGGTCATAACTGTCTGAGCCCACAAAGGCTGCACCCACCCTGCAGAGTAGAGGACATAGAATGGAGGGGAGGACCAGGGTTTCCAAGGTGTGCCAGACCTTGAGGAGGGAGGAAACAAAGGCAGGCCTCTCCCTGGCCCAGCCCCACGTATATCCTGCAAGGTGTGGGCCCCATGCCATCCTGGCCCACATGACTGGGAACAGGGTCTGAGTGGACCCCACTGTGTTCAGACCCCCATTCCCTGGGACTGGGTCTCCTGCGCACTGCAGAAGTAAAGTCCTCAGGGTCAGGGAGCCTCTCCCCAGGGCCTGACCTGCTAAGGGCCTTGGTTCCATTCCCCCTAGTCCTATACCATGCAGACAACAGCTCTGGACTCACCCAAGCTGAGGAGCAACAGAAGGCTGCTGTGGGTAAGGATCCGGCAGGACCTCAGGGGGAGTCGAGCTGTTGAGAAGGCCATGGTCTGTGAAGGATAGTGACTCTGATGCTCCCAAGATCTCCCTGGCTTCATACCCAGCACTGTCCCCACACAGTGAGGGGCCTCTAGGACCAGGGAGCTCTAGTCGAACCTTCTTCATGGGCACCTGAAGCAGCATCTGGCTGTTTGCCCTGCTCTGCAGACTTCCCAGCTCCACCCCTCAGGAAGAGGCCCTTGGCCGGGTGGGTCTGGGTCTGAGCCAGCCCAGCCCCCAACCATGAGCTCTGGGGCAGGCACCCCTCCTCAGCTCTCATCCCAGGGCAGGGCAGGGTAGGGCGGGGTTACCGCCAGGGAGCAGGGCTGCTTCCCACTCAAACTGGCCTTGGTTTTCCCCTGCGCAGAGGGATTGAGCAACTCACGCTGGGGTTGTATTGCTTGGCCCTTTCTGGTCCCTTCCACTGCGGGCACCTGGGCTTTGGGAAACCTGGAGGGGCTGAAAGGCAATGCCCTCCTCTAACCCCTTGGGCACGTGGCTTCTCTGACCCTACTTTCAGGTGCAGATGTGGGCAACCTGGGGGTCCCCAGACTGGAGCTTGGGAACCTGTGGCCAGCATGGTTGGAGCATCCTCCCTGGAGAAGTACTGTCCTCTTGGGGCCAGGGTAGGGCCTCTTCCCCACCCCAGGTACACCCCAGGTGTAGACCCAGGTGTACCTCACCATAGCTCAGAATCAAGGGTCCCTCCTACGCCCATGCTTCAGTCACCTATCCACTGATCTGAGCTGTCTGAGGCAGCTTGGAGATAGGGTGTCTGGGAGCTACAAGGCCTCCAGGTGACATCCCCTCGGCCTCCCCACAAGGTGAGGGAGGTGCCTGTGGCTGCCACACTCTTAGCAAGGTGCAGAAAGCCAGGCCCCCAGCCAGAGAACAGGAGACAAGGTAGGCATAGACAGGCAAGAAGTCCTACCCATGTCTCCCCCAGAAGCAGGACACGATCTCGACCCCATATGGCCCAGGGACCCCCAGCACCCACACCCAGGATGGCTGTAGCTCCCTCCTGTCCAAGCCCACCGCAAGTGGAGTCCAGAGCATAGGTAGGGTCCAGGTGAAGTCTGCCTCAGCTCAAACAGTATACATGAGCTTACATGTGAAATGGGGCCACATCCCAGGTGTCCTGTCCAGCACGATTTCTGAAAACACCAATTTCATGGTCCTGGTGAGGTAGCCCAGGACAGGCACCAAGATAGTTCCATCCCTTACCCTGTGTCCTCTAGGAACAGTCTCCATCCAGACTCCACTGCTCATTAACTATCCATGCACTTACTGAGCACCTACTGTATGCTGGGCCCTGTCATGGTAACAATCCCCCGGGGTGGATCTGGGGCTTGAGCAGGTACAAGCCTCTTAAAGTGAAGTGGCCCTGTCTGTGGGAACAGTGGCCAGTTCCTACTTGGGCAGGTGGGGAGCTGCAGGACACTGTCTAACTCTACAGCCTGCCTGCCTGATCCCCAAGTCCAGCAAGACCCAAGGTCTGGCCCTCAAGTGGTAAAAAATGAAGCCAGACCACATTCCTTGTTGAGGTCAGGGCTCGGTGAGGCTGGGTGGGAAGAATGTAGCTTACAGACAGGACTAAACACAGAGCCATCTGATCCTACCCTCAGCAGAGAGATGCGGTGTGGCTGGCCAGGACCACACAGGGGCTGAGAGCAGAAATTACTCCTAAAGACAGCAAGGGAGAAAGGTCCTTGCTGCTTCCCCTTGCACAGCAGGGGAGGGGGCAGGAGTGGGGCTACAGGCTGGGCAGGGACTTGCTGGTCCCTCCCCTGGCAGGTCCCAGTACCAGCCTGAGCCCTATGCCTGCTCCCACCCAGGGCAGCTGGGTCGAGGTACCAGGCAGTGCTGGTGTAGGCGTCTGCCACACCTTTCCAGCATACCCGTTCCCACGCATGCATACATACATGAACACACGTGTGACCTAGACCCTGTCCCCCAGCTCACATTAATCAGGCCATAGTTAGCCCCTCATGGGCCTGGGCACTGAGCTTAGTCTCAGAAAATGTGGGCCCCCGCCCATCCCCCAGCTAGATTAGGTTCTGTCCCTGAATGGCCAGTGGACTCACCCCAACGGACATAGGGCTCACAGTGACCCATCCATGAGATGCTCCTTTACTCACTGCCTGGGTGTTTGTGGTGATTAAGGGCTCGTGAGGAGCCCTTAGGCAAATGCCCTGGGGCTCTTGTCTGACTTTCACTTTGGGACCCCCCGTAAGTCCCTCACCCCCATCATCCTGCAAAGCTGATCTAGAGTAGCTCCTGGTTCTCCCAATGGAAGGGGCAGATTCAGCACCACCAAGGAAACAGGGGTAGGGACTTTCCCGGGTCACAGATCCTGGGTGGGAGGGCAGGTCACAGGAGGCAGGAAAAGTCAAGCAGAGCGGGAAGCATGTGTGGGAACAGGGTGTGGGTCACTGAGTTCTTGGCAAGTGCGGTTGATCTCTTTAAAGGAAGATAGGAAAGTGGGAGTGGGCCTGCCCGGCAGGAGGGGTGTCCCACTTGGGCTACCTGGGGAGGTGTCCCAGTGCCCATCATAGCCCCAGGTACCTGAGGTCCAAGTGGCCTCTTCTCAGGGTCTGGGCCAGACCTGCAGTTGGAGTCACTGCCAAACCTGGGTGACAAGAGAGCCTGAGCCTACTTGGTCTCAGTTTCCACACTTGGAGATGGGGTATAGAGACACCAGAGTCTCCCAGGCTGTCCAGAGCAACTAAGGAGGCTTCCCTGCTGCAGCCAGGGGGAGAGGCAGCTGCTCATGCAGCAGGAATGTGTGGGTGGAGACCTTTAGGAGGAGCTGTAGACAGGGGCAGGAGTGGGGCCATGCCTGGGCTGCTGGGGGAGGAGGGCTGCCTTGGTCCTCATCTTGGTGGAGCTAGAGAGAGCCCTAGGCTCAGGCTTTGTGGGATCTTATACTCCCATTTCTCAGGAGGAAAAACTGAGGGAGCAGAGTGGCCTGAGTCACAGGGCAAAGTGAGGGTATGGTCTTCAGGCTGAGCCATGGTGAGCTCTGCAGGCCACAGAGTCTACGTGGTAGCCACATAGCCAGCCACAGCTCCCAGGGGCACAGGCCATGGTGCAGGGTGCATTTCTCAACTCAAGCTAATATTGTGTGGACAACACCATGACTCTGAAATGAGCAGGTGAAGGTTGGTGGAAGGGAATCAAAACTGGTCCAGGACTGGCCCAGCACCGCAGTCCACCTCAGTGGGCCACAATGCTTAGCATGCATGAGGCCCTGGTTCCACCCCAAGCACCAAAACCAAAAATCTTCCAATAGCTTCTATTTGCTGAGCTGATTATACAAAGCACCTGTCTCTGGGCCAGGGATACAGCTCAGCAGCACAGCACCTGCCTGGCAAGTACAAGGTCCTGAGATCAATTCCCAGTACAAAAAAAAAAAAAAACCACCTGTCTATGACCTTGTTCATGACTAAGTTTTCTGGTATATGCAGTTGAGCCAATCTCAGTAACAGAGAATTCTGCCAGGTACAAAATAAAACTGAAAAAAAAAGAAAAAAAAAAGAATCAATTTACAGCCAAGGATTACAGCAAGTTCAAAGCTGGTCTAGGCTACACAGGGAGCTCAAAGAGCTCAAGGCCAACCTGAACTACATAGTGAGACTGTCTCCAAAACAAAACAAAACAAAGAATCAACTTACAAAAGTCAACAGAGAATTTTTTTAATCCCTTCCATAGAAAGGGAAAAATAATTGAAAAACACTGGTCAAACTATATGATGGGAAATGAATGGCCACTCTTTTTCATTTTCTTTCCTTTTTTTTTGGTCTTTTTGAGATGGTCTCACTATGCAGTTCAGGCTGACCTTGAACCCCCTTTGTAGCTCAGGCTGGCCTCGAACTCACAACAATCCTGATGCCTCAGGCTCCCAAGTGCTGGGATTACAAGCATGTGCCACCATGCCTGGCACACTCTTTTATTGTAGAATTCAAAATATAATAATTGAATATAAGCTAAGTATGGCAGTATATACCCATAATCCCACCTCTTCAAGAGGTTGAGGCAGGTGGATCATAAATTGGAAGCCAGCCTCAAAACAGCAAGACTGTGTCTCAAAATAAAAAAAGGTCTGGAGGTATGGCTCAGTGGTGGAGTGCTCCTAGCTTCTACCCCTAGTACCACACACACAAACACAAACTGAGTACAAATTTTGTAAGATACAGTAGGTCTGTTCATGGAAATGATATAATTTGAGGGATAACATTTAGCAAAATTGAGGTTCAGGTTATTGTCTCTTGTTATCAAAATCAGTTACAAACTTTGACTTGTCAGGGCTGAACCAGGTGACAGCTAATGTACCTTGTCACCTGGAAGGCACTTGAGCACTGCCGGACCCCTCCTGACACCAACAGATTGCCACATGGCAGAGTACTTACTTCTAGTCCAGGTGTAGGTGTCCGCTCTTCCATCACACATGTGAATGGATTTTAGAATGTGGAAATGTCCTTTGTGTTTTCTTCAGTGAATTATAGTTTAAATTTAAAAGATATAGCCACTAAACTGGGTGTGGTGGTGTGCACCTGTAGTCCCAGCTACAGAGGCCTAAGGCAGGAGGATCAGTTGAGCCCAGGAGTTTGAGAGCAGCCTGGACAACACAGTGAGACGGTATCTCCTAAAACAAAACCGAAGTCAAATGTAGTGGCACACACCTGTAATCTGAACTATGGGACACCGAGGCAGGAGTTTGAGCCCAGCCTAGGCAACTTAATGAATTATTAAAGCCCCATCTCAAAAAAACTAAAAACTAAAAAAAGGGCCTGGGGTTGTGGCTCAGTGTGAAGGCTCTCAGTTCAATCCCCAGTGCAAAAAAAAAGTAGTAAGACAGTCTTAGTTTTAATTTTACATAGGAAGTACATAAAGCACATTGTTATTCAAACAGTATTAGTTGTTGGAATGATGATAGTACAGAGCAATGTTTCTCCTGTCATTTGAAGTTGAGCTCATTAAGAAACATTACCAGGTTTGAAGCAGAAGTTAAACCCCAAAGCCCTCGGATTCTGATAAAACAGGCAGGGGCAGGCTCTTCCATCCGGAGCTGTCTCTCTGCCACAGCACACCTGTGCTGTTGTTTCACGCGGACAGCCTGCCCCACAGAAAGGCAAGTCTCGTTTTCAATAGCCACTTCTGACAAAACCCTCAGAACTGACAATGGCTAAGTACAAGTTGACTCTACCGGTTCAACAACATCCCAGACATTCAAGCACATCTTGCGGAGAACTGGCTGGAGAGTACCAGTGAAAAGCCACAGGCTTCACACATGTCACGTTCTCATAGCTCTGTGAATGTGTCCTGAGCTGCTCCCCACATATTTTTACCACCATCAGCTGTAACACATATTAGCAGATTCCTTGCAGATGCTACTGCCTTAGTTTTGTTGACCTTGAAAATGTTCTTACCTGTTACAGCCCTAGTTCCTGTGGCTCCCCAACTCAGACCTCAGGCATGGAAGACATGAGCTGCAGAGCCCCAGCATTGGCTGTTCAGTCAGCAAGAGCCAAGTAAGACTTTGAGCATTTCTCTTGTTTTTCCTTTTCTTTCTTTTTTTTTTTTTTTTGAGACAGGGTCTCGCTGTGTAGTCCAGGCTGACCTTGAACTCACAGCGATCCTCCTGCCTCAGCCTCCCGAGTGCTGAGATTACAGGCATGTGCCACCACACTAAACTCTGCCTTGTTTTTTAATTGACCATTGATATTGCTCCCTATATTTTTATGTCTCAGAACAGCTGTTCTTATCAAAGTGCCAATAGTCTTGAATTTATTTTCTCTGGGTGTTCTTTAACTGCCGCAATCTAACATGATTTCACTAAGTCACCATTCAGAGATGGCTTTCTTTGCTTGGCTAACAAGTGAGCCACTCAAAAACTTCACTGGGTTGCTATTTTTTGCCCCCCAAGATATACTGCTGTAAGGAGATATTTATTCTATTTTATGTTCTCCAGTTTTTCTGACCAGAACTTTCCTATGAGCGGGGAACTTGCCTTGCAAAGAATTCTGAGTGCAGCCAGATGTGGTAGTGGACTCCTGTAATCCCAGCATTCAGGAGGCTGAAGCAGGAGGATCACTGTGAGTTCAAGGCCAACCTGGACCACATAAGCAGTTAAAGGCCAGCTTGAACTACCTAGTGACACCCTGACTCAAAAAAAAAAAAAAAATTCTGAGTGTGATCATGCAGACCAGATGCAGTGTCACCAGGTCATAGATACAATGCTCGTCCACCCAATATTTATTTGTCTTTTTGCAATATTGGGGATCAAAGCTGGGGCCCTGAATCATTACCAACGACCTACTACCAATAATCTACTACTCCAGGCCAACCCATCTAGTAACAAATAATGCACACTTCATGATGTTTTAAAAGCCTGACCAGGGTGTGGTGGTGCACATTTTTAATTCCAGAAAACTGGGAAATTGAGGCAGGAGGGTCACAAATTTGAGCCTTGCCTAGGCAATTTAGGGTCTTATCAAGACCCTGTGTCATGCTCAGTGACAGAGTGCTTGCCTAAGCACTATGCCCTGAGTTCAATCCTCAATACCACAAAAAAAAAAAAAGAAAGAAAGAAAGGCCCTGTCTCAAAATAAAAATAAAAAATGGCCTGGGGTTATCGCTCAGTGCAAAGGTCCAGGGTTCAAATGGAAAATATATACATGGACATTAAAGAAATAATGTCATACATCTTAAAAACATACAATTTTTACTTATCAATTACCTTAAGGATGGATAATTTGGGGAGAAGAGGGTACTGGGAATCAAACTCAGGACCTTGCGCTTGCCAGCCAGGCGCTTGTGCCACTGAGCTTTATCCCTGACCCAGGATGAACAATTTTTAAGAAAAATAAAATAAAGCAGCACATGGAGAAAACTTTACAGATTTTTAGTTTTTTGGGTTTGTTTTGGTTTGTTTTGTTTAAGACAGAGTCTCAGTAGGTAGTTCAGGCTGGTCTCAAACCGACAGCATTCCTGCTGCTCAGCCTCCTGGTACTGGGATCACAGGCATGTGCCACCATGGCCTGTGAAAAATTTACAGTTTCAAACAATTATATTATATTTTTAAAAAGGTCTGAAACCTATGACCTGAGGTATCACTTCCAGAAGCTGGAAAAGTATCAAAGCCTCAAATTGAAAACATAACAGACATGAGCTTAGAAATTAATGAAATGGAAAACAAGCAACAAAGAACTTTAACAAAATGAAAAGGCAGTTATTTGAAAACGTCAACATAATTAATAACACTGAATTGAATACTTTCAATGAGCATATTGTATGGTGTGAGCTTTTTTGTTTGGGTTTTTTTTTTTTTTTTTTTTGTCTTTTTGAGACAGGGTTTCACTATGAAGTTCAAGTTGGCTTTGAACTCACTTTGTAGGCCAGGCTGGCATCTAACTCATGGCGATCCTCCTGCCTCAACCTCCTGAGTGCTGGAATTACAGGCATGTGCCACCACATATGGTTATTATATAATATGTGAATTATATCTTTTTCTTTCCAGCACTGAGGATTGAACTCAGAACCTCTACATTGTGCTACATCCTAATCCCCAACCCCAACCCCAGCCCCCAGCTTTATTGTGAAATAGGGTCTCACTAAGTCACTACATTTCCAGGAAGGAATTGAACTTGTGATTTTCCTGCCTCAGCCTCCTAGAGTGCTGGGATTACAGATGTGCAGCACCATAACCCAGAGAAT